TCATTGACCATTAATCCGGTTGAAGGACAGTTAACAATGAACCAATACAATCGAATTATTACGAGGATAAGGATATTCAACATTAAGAGAGATAGTGATATCTGTCGAAATTAAAGATCTATGGCTGGTTTAGTTCCAAAAATATCACATCGAATTTTTGGACACATGCATGTAGCATTAAATATAGATTAAACAAACTGATTGTATAGTTAGTAGGGAAATCATGAGACGAATCTTTTGAGCCTAATTAGTATATGATTAACCATAAGTGCTACAATAACCCACATGTGCTAATAACGGATTAATTAGGCTCAAAAGATTCGTCTCGCGGTTTCCAGGCGAGTTATGAAATTAGTTTTTTCATTCGTGTCCAAAAACCCCTTCCAACATCTGGTAAAACATCCGATGTGACATCCAAAAATTTTCTTTTCGCGAACTAAACAGGGCCTATCAATAGCAGTCAGTAGCAGTATTATAATTTTTAAATAGCCTTCCTATAGTTATAAAATAGGAAGGGCCAGTCTAGGCTGGCTTAAAAAGCCCGACCAAAAACAACAACGCTGAGGACGGTTAAAACATTCATTTTTCTAATTTCGGTTATTTTTTTATTATCCTAATTCAGTTTTTTTTATTATTCTAATTCTAAATTAGAATAATAAAAATAACTGAAATTAGAAAAATGAATGTTAGTAGTGGCTTTTTTCAGTTAGGTGCAGTTAGTAGTGGGACTACAACTTATCCAATCCATCACCAGCTATTAGATCCAAATCTCCGATGGTCAAAATGCATTCGGTACTGTAGATACCATTGTAGCAAGAACTGTTGAGTACTTTTCCATCAGCACTGTAGCAATAGATGCTATTACGTGCAGTATCTTTACTTGCAGTCTATATTGTATTGAAACTGCATGTGATCCTAATCCTTACAATACAGTTTCTTCGACAAAATACAGTGTCTACTTTTACATATAAATCCGTTAAAATATATAGAAATAATAATAACAAGTTCTATATCGTAGAATTCTTTGCTTCGCCACTGTTCATCAAACTATTCTGATTTCTGAAAATCAATACTCTATCTGTTCCAAAATATATGTACTTCTGAAGTTTTTTAGAATTAGGATCGGTAAAATTAAACAATAGGTGTAGTTTGTGATAGAAAGAGAGATTAAATAAGAGATGATCAAATGACTGTAAGTATGTAATAGGTTGAAATATAAAGAGATATGAAAAGATAATTTAGAAGAAATTTTAAAAATAAGAAGCTACTCCCTCCGTTTCACAATGTAAGACTTTCTAGCATTGCCCATATAAATATAGATGTTAATATGTCTAGATTCATTAACATCTAAATGACTAGCAATAGTGCCCGTGCGTTGCAACGGGAAAAACACCGTTTGATAGTGTGACACCTTGAAAACCTTAAATCAGTAAAAATCAAGTCTAATTTGATATATTAACAAATAGGTAGAACCGAGTCTAATTTGATGTATTAGCAAAGGATTTAAGATTTAGTTTTAGATTTATTTTTCGAGCCTAATTAGGAGTTTATCCGATGGACTTTAATTTAAAAAATCTGAGCCATATTGTTTGATCAAATTTACTTTTGGCCCAGGTCTTCCCAAGCCGGCCCAAACTTGGGCTGGCCCATCTTCGGCGAGCCGAATCAATTCGACGGCCCGCGAGCTGAGCAGCTGACCATGGCACATATGCGGGGGAAGGTCCGATGCACTTCCGCGGCCCATTGGGCGTAGCGTAATCTGCGGCGGCGGCGGTGGCCCAACGCTAGGCAAAACTGAGCCGTCCGATCTAATGGACGGCTCCGATCGTCCCCTTGCCGGATGAAGTGCCGATCGGGAGAAAAGGGCAAAACCCTAGCTCCCAAATCCCTCTCTCCCGATCCCATTTCTCTCCGGCGACGAGCGAGCGGAACGACGGCAAAGGTGGCAACGGCGAGCTGGTGCGCGCGTGCGGTGACGACCGCCGAGCGGCTCCTGCTTTGCCGGCTGGGGGGCGCACCCGAGGGCGTTACAAATCCGTGCCATGGCGTCGGTGGTCCTGCTAGGCGGGCGCGCAAACGGCGACGAGCGCCGAGCGGCATGGACCTCTCGGCGGGATGCCAAACCGACGCTTCCCGTCTTTGGCAAGGGATGGCGGAGGGGTGCTCCAGGACAACGCGCATGCAGGGAACCCGACGCAACTGCGAGAAGGTGAAGGTGCGGCGGTGCCGCTTCTCGGAAAGCTCCGGTGAGCTTTGGGACTTCAGGTCCGATAAGTAACCCGAACTCTTAGCTTAATTGATTTGGATTTTGACTATTAGGGTTCTTACTCGAAATTAGGGTTCTTTGAATTTGGGGAATTTTGTCGGGAAATTTCAATCTATTTTATTCCCTCTTTTCGAGTTAGGGGAGTTTTAATATTGTTTATCCTCTTTTAATTTTGGGAACTTCAATCTAGTTTATCCCTTTGCTCATTTTTTTTTTGCTTTGGCCGGCGTTTCATCGCGCGGGCAGGGACGGAGGGCACCGCTTGGTCCCCTCGAAGAGATTGAGATTAAGAGAAGATAAGATTTTCACAGACGACGGAAGTAAACTCAATCATAAGATACTATTTTATTCTTTTTTTGTTTTAATGTTTTTTTTGCCCTTTTTTCGTTTTGTTATTATGGACGATGGAAATGTTTTCAATTTTTCAAGTAGTAGAGATAGAGATAGAGATATATTGTACAGTGTCACATATAATAGTATTCGTTTTTTTACCGCGTCACATATAATTCCTTTTCTTTTGGAATTGGACATAATTTGTTTATTTAATTTTTTTTCGCCTTTTTTTACCGCGTTCACGAAATCGGATTCTTGTTTTGACTTATTTTTCACCCGATTTTTTCGCCCGGTTTTGTTGCCCGATTCCCTTTTTTTTATCGGACAGATTCGTTTTTTTATTTTGTTTTCCACTTTTTTTAGACGGGATCGGATTCTTTCTCCCCCGATTTTTTCTCGCCCGATTTTTTTCGCCCTTTTTTTCACCGCGTCCACGGAATCACATTCTTTATTTTTTGCCTTTTTTTCACCTGATTTTTTTTCGCCCGATTCTTTTTTTATCGGACAGATTCAGTTTTTTTTATTTTTTCCGCTTTTTTTTTTTACACGGGACCGGATTTGTTTTTTTCCTGGTTTTTTCTCGCCTGATTTTAATCGCATACGGACGAAACGGAGAGAAGTGACGATAGGAAAATACTAATATTTTAATTAGTTAAGATATGAGTAATACTAGAAAGTTTTACACTGTGAAACAGATGAAATATTATAGTTTACAACGGAGCGAGTACTTGAAAGGCCAAGTGGATAGCTACCAGACGAGTCGGCGGGCTTGTTACGGCGGTTGGTACTGATTAACCAGTAAAAACAAGCCGGCGAAAACCAGAGAGCCCAGTGCACGGTAAATCAGCGGGCAAATTTTTACGTGTGGCCATCGCCGCGTCTACGTAGGCAGGTCTCGCGAGAGAGAGAAGAAAGCCAGAAAGTCTCACTGGCTGCAGGGCGGCAGCCAATGGGAACTCGACAGGCAAATACACGGTGGTGGCGATGATTGGGGACACCGATCGAACGAGATGCCATGACATGCACCTGTCCTATCATTGCCTATCCCCTCTGCAGCAATGGCCTCACCTCTGTCCTTCCCATGTACCTTCGTTTACCAATCACCCGTCTTGTCTCGGGTCACCCATAATTCCAGATCCTAATACCCATATCAAAGGGCTGCTCCCTCCGTTTAAAAAAAATTCAAAACAAAACAAAGACAAACTTATTACTAGAGATGATATATTCTAATACAATTAATCTGAACAAAGTCTATTCAGATTTATTTTACTATAATAAATCACATCCAATCCTAGGATTATATTTTGTGGAACGGATGGAATAGTAATCCTTACTACTTCCGTCTCAAAATATAATACGTTTAAGCTTGAATACGATACAAATAGAGTAGGTAAAATCAAATGAGAAAATATTATATATGATTAGTTGAGAAAAGAATGTAAGTTGAGTTCATTTTGTTGTGTCTACTATTCCAAAGTAAGTTTGCTTCTAGCGCAAGTATCATCAATTTGTAAATCGTTAAGTTTTACTCCCTCCTTTCTAATATAGGTGCAACCTAATATAGATGTGACATATCTAATTTTTTTTTCACGAACGCGTATAAGAATTGCACGTTAATATAATATATTAGATATATCCAATGTTACATTTATATTTTTTTAACCAGATGTTACATTTATATTTATATTGAGACAGATGAGTATTCATTTAGTCCTCTTATCGACCTACCATCAATGCTATTTTCTTATTAATGATGGGCACTTTGATATTTTCTTCTTTCACGAACACATAGGACTAAAAAGTAGGAGCAAGTTATTTTGTAATGAAGGGATCTAAAACATACCTAAGGCGTGAGTATATCAATAACTATAAATTCAGCACTGAATTGCAAGTTTTCTGTTTACCCTGCTTCTTATTATTTTTTCTGAATTGATCTAATTATGGCATAAGTGCGAGTTATTGGGATTGACTTAGTAATAAAAAGTAATTGACATATAATAAATAATCATCTAAGACGACATATTAATTAATTACTCCCTTTGCTTTATATTGTAAGGTGTTCTAAGTTCATCTTAAGTCAAACTTTGTTTAACTACTATCAAAATATAGAAAAACTTAGCAACATCTCTAACACTATATTAATTTTATTAAAACCGCCATTAAATAGGAGCAGATCTTTATAGTATTTTATTAAAAATTGACTTGCATCAACTTAATTAATATACTACTAGCAGTTTCAAAAATTGATACGCTATCTGTAACCAATGTAATTTCTACCCATATAACAGCTACTAATATAGGAGTATATACTACTCCGTCCGTCCCATAATACAAGAGATCATGGCCTTCAAATTTATCCCGAAACGTTAGAGATCTTGGTATCCCGAGACAATACTTATTTATTCCTCACCCCTAACTTAAAGCGAGCAGCCAAGCTACTGTAGCTAATGGTAGGGCGCGTGCGACAGTGGAGTAAAGTGAAGCAGCAGCAGAGAAGCAGAGACCATTTCCCTCCTCCCTCCTCTCTCGCCAAACACGACGACGTCGCCTCGGTTTAGTCGTCGTCGGCCGGCAGCCGGATGACGGGCAGTAGTTGTCCGGCCGATTCTTCCCAGCTGCTGTACCCTCGCCGGGGTGCCCCCACCACCACCACCACCTCCCGTCCTCCTCTCCATCCGCTCATCGCTCATGCGCCCTACGACGTCGTCCTCCACCGATCTGTCGTCCTCTCCATCAGCTCAGCTCGTGATCAGGCTGAGCTCGCGAGCTTCTGGTGCTATATAAGGCTGGGTGGTGGTGCAAGTGCGAAGCGAGCGGCCGGTGAGGACGATCGATCGAGATCGAGCTTGACGGCGGCGAGAGGAGGAGGAGGGGAGACGATGAGCGGGCGGGGGAGGGGGGACCCGCTGGTGCTGGGGAGGGTGGTGGGGGACGTGGTGGACCCGTTCGTGAGGAGGGTGGCGCTGCGGGTGGCGTACGGAGCGCGGGAGGTGGCCAACGGCTGCGAGCTCCGCCCCTCCGCCGTCGCCGACCAGCCCCGCGTCGCCGTCGGCGGCCCCGACATGCGCACCTTCTACACCCTGGTACGTACGTACGCACGCCTCCGCCGCCATCGCCGCCGGCGCGGCAGCTAGCTGAGCTGACACACTGCTCGATCGATTCTTGTGGCCTCTGCAGGTGATGGTGGATCCGGACGCGCCGAGCCCGAGCGATCCAAACCTCAGGGAGTACCTGCACTGGTGAGTCATCGATCGAGTCAGCACAGCAGCAGCTGTTGTAGCTGACGCGCCCTGTGACGACTGATCTGATTCAGATTCAGAGTCCAGATTCAGCTCCCTGCACCGCACCCTCGTCGTCTCGTGTCGTCTCGTCTATCGTGTCGTACGAGATAGAGCGTATAGCTATAGCCAGCCAAGTGCCCGTGTTGGTGTTGCACTTGCCGCCACGAGATCGATCGAGCCCTTTTTGCCTCTTTTTTTTTTAAAAAAAAAAGAGAGAATATTTTTGCATCCGGGTAGCAGCCAGTGAATACAGTTACGAAACATGAACGTTTGATCGTTGACTGCATGCTAGCTAGCTGCTTTTCAAAAGAAAAAGGGCACACATTTCTTTTAATTTAGATGAAAAACAATATATATGGATCGATCACACATTAATCTCTCTCTGCAAATTCTGCTATAGTGATGTGCCGAGCACTGTTTGATTGGGCCTTCTAGCTAGTTTTCCTCGAGATAATAACACACTCATATGTATAATATACTGTATATAATATATGATCATGATCTCTGGAATGATCATTACGTCGTCTTTGGGAGAAAAACACATGATTTTACACAAACTGAGATATAGCAAAGCAGGAACGACATTGAGTAGAACGATCTTAAGATAGTATATATTCAATCGATCGTACGTAGGCAAATAAACTAATTAATTAATCAACTGACTGAGATACTAGCTTTATTACAGAAACAACACCAAATTTATCAGCATTCAAACATTATTTTATTTATTATTAATTTCCATGGAATGTCTCAAACAATGTCAGAAAATCAGGTGATGTTTTAAGTGCAGTATAGTAGTTTTTTATGTGTACAAAAGTTCAATATATATTTTTCAGAATCATTTCAATAAATACATCATAGCTAGGATTATCGGTAAAATATTGTCACATATAATTCCTAGCTAGGAAAAATATATAAAACAATTTGCCTGTATCTACAGTAGTTGCACATGCTAAGGAATTGTATATATGGATTGGTAGATATTATATTTGTATTGCACATCCATGAAGAGATAAGAGGTTTAATTTTACTCTTCCATTATCTAAAAGGCAGGTAAAACATTTCCATTAATTATCTACAAAAAGTCTAAAAGGTAAATATCATGTTGGATATATGTATCAAACGATAGGGTTTTCTAAAACATTCTGTCCAACAATTTAAAATGTGCTTAGTTTCTTTTTTTCCCCTTGTTTAGAAAATAGTTTTTATGAAGTTATTTTGAGTGGCATTTTCCCTCAAATGTGGTGTGTATGAAATTTACTAAACAATTTAACATTTGAGCTTAAATGCATACACATCACATGAAATTAATAGCAAAACAAGTTGATTTCTTCTCTTCCTAGCTTGGTTCAACTAAAGTAATTAAGAGATGATAAAATATTATTTGGATAAAAGATGGTGTAAATTAAAGTATCTATATCTGAAACTAGAGAATAGATTTTGATTTTTCTTGATAAATTTATTAGAGAAGAATTTGCAGTACACATAAAAACAAGCCAAGAAAGTAAAAGTAATTAAGGAGGGAATTAATGTAATGTGCACAATTGCTAGAGGAACATTTGAAAAGTAATCCATATTTATTTGATGTCTTTTGCATGGTTGCATTTCCGATTAATGTTCATATATATGTGAGGCCTTCGAAGTAATTTACCAATTAAAATGATAATTTGCATGCACATTTTGTATTGTATATAGTGATGACATAAAATGATTTTGATTGGCATTGCTACAAAAATGATTTTGGCATTGCTGTATATGATCATACGGCCGGGGATATTGATTGCAATCAGTTGCTTTTGTCAATAGTTAATTAGAATTTTCGAGTGTGAAGGGAGCTTATAGACGAACTGACCGAAACAATAAAATTAAGAATCCTCCCAACACAAAACCCTCATGTGCACTGTACGTAGATGTGTCCAAAGATCATGTGCAAAATTTGTACAATCAATGAAAATAGGACCGGATGTTTCACATATATAGTTAATTAAATTCCAGGCCATAATTTTTTAACAAAACAAGGTTGATTATACTAAATATAAGAAATGATTATAAGTCTATTGTTACAATAAAGGACATAAAATTTGCCAAGACAAACCAATATACTCCATATATAGCTCAAAAAGTCACAAGCTAGAGATGCGAGCAGAAGAGCGCAACCACAATCCTTTTGAGTTATTTGTGCAACAAAAACTCTATTTCTTAATATATTGACGTGCAATCCTTTTGCGCGTTCGCGAAAAAGAAGAGCGCAACCACAACATTGTTGACGTCACCAACTCCAGCACATGCAAAAGTATATATGAATGTGTATATGTCACCATCTTCGATCCTTTGACAAATCTGTAAGTCAACGTCATCAAACAAATTGGAGACCCAGATTTTAAAATCCGCACCACCGATTGAATCGTCGGTAACTTAGCATACAAATCTTCCTAGATCTTCATCGATGATCCCAGAAATACAGAAGACATTGTCAAAGATATACAAAAGACAAAAAGAAAAAAAACTCTAGACAATCCTAATTCCATGGACTTCCTAAAAGACAAATCTCATCTATCTAGAATATCTAAAATTCCTTTTTTTTAAGAAACCCTAACTAAAAACTTACTGGATAAAGACAAGACACGGGTCCCCTTCCTCCTTGTCACCGGCGAGGATACAGGAGACGAGGAGGGTACCTGATGACGGTGGCACATGAGGTACCCTTGGCAGAGGTGAGTCATGAGCATACGATGCTGCTATGTGTATAACTGAAGAATTTTTGTTGAGAGAATTCCAGGCAATAATTTACAGAAAACCCCATTAATGCTGGTTTTAATCCGGCTAGGCTAGTGCCGGTAGTGATAGTCAGTATCTCTCTAGTTATGAGCTAGTTCCAAAGGCCATTTCTATTTGTTGAAACCCTACAATAAAATTAATAACCGGTTCATCCTAGCTAGTAAAAAGAGAATTCCATTATATATCTAGGTAAAATTTATTCCAAGACACTAATGAAATTTGTGGCCTTTTTCTCTAGTACACTAGTTTTATGGTTATTTGTTAAAAGACACTTGACCGTTAGTTAATATATATTCTTCCAACAGAGAGATAAAACTTAATTTGCAAAAGACAATAATCCTTGAACCACCTTCAATATAAATTTGAATATTTTTTAAGCTGAATTTAAACTTGTCATACAAAATTCAGGAATAATATATTGTCCCAAATTACGGAAATGAGAATTGCCAAAAAAAAATGCAAAATCAGAAAAATGAAAAAATATTGGATGAATTTAAACGACTTTTTAAAATGTTTTTATTTCCACAATTTTAGTGCACATTTTCTACAAAGGGAAGGAGCATATAATTACGCAGATTAATCATTCTACAAGTACTTAGATAAATTCTTAGGAAAACTAATTGCCCAGTTCTCACTATATATATTATATGAGTAGAAAATACAACGTACACTCCTAGAAATATTTTCATGCCAAATTAAGCAAAGCTAGTTCCTCATTTTGCGACCTTCACATGGTTAGTTATTGGTTAATATATACTCCACTTGATTCCAAATAATGTCAGTCATTTCATACTTGCTCACAAGAATCAAGAAAACATTTCAAATTACTTCATTGGAAAATTAATGTGAACCGATTTACGCGACATTCTTTCACCCTATTCAAAACTGATCAACGGAACTTCAAGTTCCATGTGCTACCTATGCTGAAAATATAATGGAACTGATCAGAATTAACGATCTATCAATGCAGGCTGGTCACCGACATCCCGGCTACCACAGGAGTCTCTTTTGGTACTGAACAACTATAGCACTCTCTGAACAATCTTGCAACAGTTACATTCATATGTGTGCACATCAACACATGCATGAAATCAGATCACTCTGATGTGAAGAAGAGTACAATTGCTTGCTAATTTTGCAGGGACAGAGGTGGTGTGCTACGAGAGCCCGCGGCCGGTGCTGGGGATCCACAGGCTGGTGTTCCTGCTGTTCGAGCAGCTGGGGCGGCAGACGGTGTACGCACCGGGGTGGCGCCAGAACTTCAGCACCCGCGACTTCGCCGAGCTCTACAACCTCGGCCTCCCTGTCGCCGCCGTCTACTTCAACTGCCAGAGGGAGTCTGGAACCGGAGGAAGAAGAATGTGAGCTAGCTCTCCCCTCTCTATCTCTCACTCCCTGAATTTGGGACAAGTCCTGAATTTTGCATGACAAATCCTATACTCGGAACGATTTGAAATGGTAAAATTTGATCATATGTATTTTTAGCTCCCTATCCTCTCTCTCTGTACGTTAGTTACATAAATGCTCCCACCGATTCTAAATGTAATTTATTTATATTTCTCTATTTTTCTCGAAATTTAAGTTGTTATAGGACGTTGAGGAACTTTGTCCCCCATTTTTCCTTTCATACCCTTCATTGTTAAGGGAAATGCTACCACTCTGATATATATAAAAATGATGTACCATTTTCAATATATAATAACCATGCACAGGGAATATAGTCATGTTAACACTTTGTTAATTCTTAAGCACAGCTCTAAGACGACCTACATTTGGAGTCAGATGAGGTATTCTCTCTTTTAGAAATAGAGGGGAACACTCTCTCCCATTTAATTAGAAAGCCCTCTTCATTATCAGAAATGGCAAAAATGTACGTCTATGTTATATCGGTATGATTTAATACGATTGAATTGATATTAGATGGATGGACAGATATATGTCTCAAAATGGGATTGAACTAATAGGCTTACAGTGGCGGATCCAGAAAATCGATTCGTTGGTGTCATAACGTGTCTATCGGCGTCATAGTATGCTAATTATGCTTAGATCATGGTGTTACTATAATATATGGATTAGCAGTTTTGCTATAGATTTTACCGAAAGTCGTCGGTGTCGTCTGACACAGACACTTATATCCGTCCCTATAGGCTAACCCGCTAATCTATTTATAGACCAAATAAGTGGGTAACCCGTTGGTCAACCCACTTAATTAGTCTATAGGTGGGTCCATGGTCAACCCGCCTACACTCTACGATTACGATTGAAGTGTACAATATGAGCTACTATTGGTTAATCAATTGAAGGCATTTTTCTCTGAATGATGTGTTCGGGTTTTTCATAGATTTTTGGAAGTGCATTTGATGATATTTGGCAAGACTACATATATGGTCTTCAATACCGTGGAGGTGTCTCTCCTTGAGTCCCGTTTTAGTGCACCTTGTAGCTAGCTACAACTTGCGTGGTTCCATGTGTTTGTTTGCAAGGAGTAAGGAAATTGAATACCAACTGACGATTGCAAAAGTTGGCCTGTTTGATCAGCTGCTATGCAGAATTATGCCACTGTTACTAACTGCGGCAATGAAGCGGCCTCCCCATGCATTGCGTGTACGTGACGAACCAGCTCAAGCCATTTGGTCGGAGTCTGCACACACTGCATGTATATAAGAGCTGTAATTCCCAGTATAGTTACAAGGACACACCACACACGTAATAACAAAGAGACAGTTTCAGATATTCCGTCGTCATTTCTAAAAGAAACTCAAAAAGATCAGAGGACTGCATATCTACATATGATGTTCATTCTGAACTTCGTGGTATAACGATCCAAGAACAGATGAGCTTCCCTTTCAACCTTTAGGTGCTAAAATCTGTGCCACGCCTCGAGTTGGTTTGTAGCATACTAGCAATTTTGGTCATACAACTCAACTACTCAAGCATCACATCTTTAGAACAATCAGCATGACATATTTTGGGTACTTGGCTGGGCACCATACACTTCACGTATGGGTGAAATCTTGCGACAAAACTGCTCAGGGGCAAATGTTGCTCAAATCATGAAATTCTTATGAAGCAAATGAGGATGACTCTTCAATCGACATCTGTTCTGTGGGCTTTAGGTACCAATTACGTGGGTTGCTATCCGTTGAATCGGAATTTGAAATGTACAAGACCTTGTTGTGGAACTTGTGCAGTGTTTTCCGGTGACCAATGCTTATGTAAGTAATCCCTGCAGCTTCAATCTGACTGTATAGATGACGCTGTGAAAACGAACAAAGTAGTCAGAAGCAATAATGAGTAAATGTAGGTCAGTGAATCAGTGATCACTGTATTGTTTATGCATTCATAAGCATTAAGCAGAGGTCATCAATCCTCTCTGTTTTGCCTCTAAATGAACTAAAAGCATTTATGTAATTCAGGGGGTGACGAATCCATACTTAGCATCTTTTGGCAATTCATGGTAGCTAGTGTGTTACTAGTAATTAGTAGTAACAGTATGGCAAATATAGCATCATAATAGAATTGTTAGTTATTACCTCATTCATATCATCTAGTGCACTTGTGGACTCATCAAGGAGGACTAAAGTTGGTTTTGCAAGTAACAACCGAGCAAATGCAAGACGCTGTTGCTCCCCCAGAGAGAGAACGCTGGCCCAATCATGCATAGAATCCAAACCATTGAAACGAGGCAATATATAGCCTAACTTAACAGCCTCAAGTACTCTGATCAGTTCATCAGTTGTGGGCATCTCAGACTTGGAACCAACTCCATCTGATGTGGAGACTTCAAAGGTAAGAGGGTCTGAAATTCACAAGATGGTACAACTTTAGGACTTTAGGTCATTAGGTAGATGCAAATGCATGTTCTGGAGCTTCCTGCCAGAAGTATTGTATCAAATAAACTTGAGGCAGAATGTGTGATCTCTGTATCAATACGGATTTCTATAGCTTTATACCACATCCACCAACAAAATGCAAACATTTTTAACTGTTTCATCACTATTAGGCAAAGAATGATGCAACTATAAGGATTCAAAGAAGAAAAAAAGAGCAACGGCGAAGTGAGTTTGAACGTTATAATAATTTTATACTTCACTTCTTTCAAGATGCATTATTCGAGAATGTCATAGCATTATATTTTTTTGAACAAACGTCATAGCACTGTAATAAAGTCACTTAAATTCAGAGTTACCCCATGGGGTCAGTTCTTGTCCCCATGTACATGTTTAAAATAATTGAAAGTTTTATATGATGGTATGGTACCTCTATGGCTTAAGTTGCACAGTGTATACAAAACTTTCATGTAAATGTAGTTTTCACACCGATGTGGATTCTACCAAGCAAATGGTTTGTTGTTGTGGTCTCTAACAAGAAAGAAGTTTACACTTGATTGTTCATCGTGCAATATAGGAATAATTACCTGTACTTTGAGGATCATTATTTGATGAATGACAAACATCTTCAGTCCATGTAGGATAGAGCAATTGCTGACGAAGGGTTCCCAAAACCATATATGGTCTCTGTGGAACAAAGAATATACCATTATCCCTTCTCTGCTTTGAACTTTGTAGCAGTTCTTCACCGTTTGACTGTATGTTGGATGGCTCATCAGGACCTGAATTTGATGTTTGAAGCTCCATGGAACCTCTCACATGGTATATGATGTCCCCAGTACCACTGGTCCAAAGGCCAGCCAAAGCACGTAACAAAGAGGTTTTCCCACTTCCACTGGGCCCCATTACCTAAAGGCAAAAAATGAACATTTCTCCTCTGTCAGATGGCAGTGATAACATTTATTTCTCCTATTTACAAGTAGGCGAGTAGCTAAAGAAACCAAATACCAGTAGGTGGTCCTTTTCTTTGAGTTCCATAGTGAGGTCAGTAATAAGAATGTTTCCACTCCTGGGTGTTAATAATGTCAAATTACAAATCTCAAGAACCATGGATGGATTAGATTGTGTCGGTGATCCATTGGAACTCAGTACAGTAGGACCAGTGCTCTTGAAAATTATGTTGATCCCATCAATGTTATCAGGCTTGGATAAAGATGAACCATTTCCATCCAACAGATCATCAAATTCACCTGAAGATTATTGTTCAATTAGAATAGTCTAGATATGTTAGCAAGCAATGCTGAGAGAGAAAAAGGCATCACCTAGACGATCAATAACCGCCGAGAATGCACTAATTGACTGAAACTGGAACACAATGAGAGAAAAATCACTAAGGATATGATTGAAAGCAGACACTGATTGATTTATTACTCCAAATTCAATTTTTCCTGAGAAGTACATCGGAGCAACAACTGCAGCTGGCAGGATCTGGATTAAATAACGGTAGCCATTGGTGAAAAACTCCAGATTACGAGATGCTATTAGCAATTCCTGCAAACAGAACAGGAAAAGATAATATAAATCGGCCTGCTTAGAAAAATGACTCACACATCATAAGTTTCCATCTGAACATTCAAAAAACATGGAGCTGCTGCAAAGTGACAGTTTTTCAGGGATATTAGTCTCATAAAAAGCAACTACTACTATTAGTATGGCTGAAGGTTTTGTTTTGGAATTCATAGATTATCTAACATTTGGATAAGTTTTCAAAATAACTTTTGGATACCAGTTACTAGGTGTACTATATTACTAATTCAGTTGTAAGAAGAATATTACAGCACATGTAAAACCAAAATGTTATTATTACATCATGGTTTTAATAGTATATTAATAGTATATTACATCAAACAAAAATCTGAGTATTAAAATTGGCATGTAACCCATGAAATACCACAGCCACATAAAGGAATATGTATGTTTTATATGTTCTAGGATGCTTTTAGTAGCTATGACATCCTATTCCAATACTATAAAACTAAATGTCAGAACAAACAAGTAGTGTAAAATGAATAATGATGTATGGTGAAAGAAAGTCTATACAAGCAAAGCTTACGCTAAGGTTTTCAAAAGCCCTCCTGAATCGATCCAACAAAAGTTGCAATTCATTTTCTTCACCGCCATAAAAAGCAATTGATTCAGCATTTTCTCTAACTCGGACAAGTCCATAACGAAAATCTGCTTCTTTCTTTTCTTGCATGAAGTTCAAGTTGACCAAATTCTGTCCGTACAAGAATAGCCAGCAATTAGTTTTAAAGAAAGAAAGAGTATGTTCAATGCAAGTTGGAGATAAATAATGTTGATAAGCAACTTACTTTACCAAGGAAGATACTAATTCCAGTGCCCCCAAGGGAGTAGACAATAAGAACAATGAATAATGGTGGATAGATCCCATAAAGGATGTTACTGAATGATATCAAGTCCACGGCAGCATTTAAAAATGTCAGAGAAAATGCAAGCGCGGTTCCAGTGAATGCACTGAGATCATCATTGATCCGTTGATCCGGGTTATCAATTAGTGATTGAGATTGAATCTTATAGAAAGTTCTATTTTTAAAGTAGCGCTTCATGTAATAACTTGTCATCCAAGATCGCCATCTTAAAGAAAGGGTCTCCCTTGCATAGTCTCTCAAGACAAAGAACTGCAGTATAGTGAGAGCAGAAATCAGAACACAATTATACTCATAGGAATACAGGTTGCTGATTCTGCAACACAGAAAGTACATATCCTTGATTGATAGATACAAATAGAAGTAGTAGCAATTCTAGACACACTGCTGGAAAAAAGGAACAGAAGTAAGATTCTAGAAGCTAATCCATCTAGTGGGAAAATCAGATTGCTGAATGGTTTGTGGTCATAAAAGGGGTAGTTTGCCAGATGGAGACAAGCTGCTGGGTTCCAGATCAAATAGTAACAATGAATTTTGCTAGATTCTTGAGATACATACCATAAAAAAAAGAAGAACAAGCAGAACTCAGAGATCTCCAGTGCCATGATAACAACCATTGATACTTGAAATAGCCAACTATGACAGTGTTGCCTTCCAAATATTACTCTCTAATTCTAATTATTTAACATTATTGGAACTTTTATCATCTTTGAGAATCAAAATGTACATTGACAGCAATACCAAATTTGGTAATATAGTTACATGAATGGAACTATAATATTGTGATGTTACTTACGGAAAATCTAGTGATATGTGATATAATTCTTGTATAAACAATCTAAACAAGTGATGAAAAAAGGGTTGGTCATAAGTTAGCACAATCTGATATTTTCTCAATCTGTGTCTAAGTGATACAAATAGTTGTAACAGGCTAACAGCTTGAAGAGCAATACCTACAAAAGAGCAGCAATATGCTCACCGGTATTCCTACAGCAAAACCTCCCAAGTAATACAGCAGTTGCTTGGTAAATTGTTCCTGGTCCTTGTCTTGCAAGAGAAAACACTAAATGTGTGTTAGCATAAAAAAAATAGAAGCTATTGTACATCCACTTTGGACTTTTGATGACAATGGCATGCCACCTTCAGTAACACTTGTAACAATAAAAAGCAGAAGTGTCCTTATATTTTGTCTAGTTTGAGTCTTGCAGATCCCCGAAATTTTCAAATGAGGGTGTGTCCATTTTAGTACAATAGATTTAGTGTGTACGATATAAAGGACCTCTCCCTCTCTTGTTCCCTTGCATTGTTATGTGCACTGCAAATCCGTGTGTGTAATTTTGTTCAGAACGTACAATGAATCTACAAGATAACAATTTAAACAAGACAGAACATACCAGCAAGGGCATTGTAGAAGTCACGACCCAGAAAGTTAAATCCAACACTAATTCCAGTAGTTGCTAATGTAAGAGCAAATACTGCAGCAAGCCTCAGCCTCGCTTGCACTTTATCTTCTGACCACCAGTAAGGGGCAGCAACTTTCCAAAATCTTCTAGCAAGTGTTTTGAGGTCCGTTTCAACTCTCTACCAGAACGAGATAAAAAAGACACATTAATTAGCAACAGAACAAATAGAAGCCAGACTAGCGTAAGAAGCACTAATCGCTACAGAAAGGCACTGCCTCCACCATAGATGAAAGGAAACAATAGGCATATAGCACACCACTAGCTGTTAGCCCGTAGGCCATAACATAACATGTACTGAACCAAAAACACAAATGAAGTAGTACTAATTTCTAATAAATTAGTTATAACAGCTAATAGACGACACTGCACCTTGTACACATACTAGAAATACATTTACAATCGCGGATCACAAGGCTCATACGGTTTCACGATTGACAGTTCACATTCTAAATCGAAATTACTAGTTACCACAGCCAGATTGAACCAAATGAGTGAAATGGCATAATCACAAGAGATCAGACAATTGATACTTTGGCTATGCATGTATGAATGAACATTTCAAAACGTCATCCCATCCCATGGTTGATTTCGAAGCCGACGACTGCCCACGGATAGCAAAACCCACAGCACCAATCACACCACACCACAGAAAAATCGCCAATCGGAAAAAAAAAACCTACAGCTCGCCGCGGAATTACAGCACAAACCTAAACCTCGAATTGCAGATGATGTACACCTAACGAACTCTGAACTCGCAGTTTAAGCTATAAACAAGCACCGAAGCAGATCACGCGCGCACGAACCCAAAACAAAAAAAAAAAGCACAGCGGGGAACTCCACGGAGCAGAGACACCTCCATCACCTTATCCTCGGCGCCGGGACCAGAGCCGCCGCCGTCGCCGGTGGCCTCCCCTGCGGCTGCCGCGGCGGGAGGGGCCGTGGCCCTGCGTCGCCGCCCGCGGCGGCGCATGGAGGAGGATGCCACCGCGTGGGGCCAGTGGAAGCGGGCGTGCAGCGGCAGCGGAGAACCGAAGCAAACCCCGGGGGAAACAAGCCGCCGCCGTCGCCGCGGCGGCTGTGGTGGTGGTGGTTGGAGCGGGAGGAGCAGTAGCCGCGGGGACGACGACGAAGTGGAGGGGAAGCAGCACGCGGGCGCAGCAGCAGTAGGTAACCCCATCTCCGCTCGCGTTTGGTAGCTTCTCGATTCCGCTTTTTCTTCTCCTCCTCGTGACCTCGCGTGCTCTCGCCGCGGCGAGCAATGGCGGCGAGCGGCGAGGAGAGAGAGAGAGAGGCGTAGCAGCGAGCGCCGCTCGGAGGAGTCCAGTACGAAACTACTCCGCGTCGTCCGTACCCGGTCGGTCACTGACAAGCCGGGCCCACGCGCAGCGACAGGGGAGGGGTGGGGACACGTGTCCTTCTGAGGACGACCCACCGGGTGGCTGCAGCAGCGCCACTCACGGCCTATCTGAAACTGAAACTGAACTGCAGAGAAAAACTACAGATACAGAAGATACAGAAGTCTCTAGCACAGAAGAAAATGGTATGCATTTTGGATATTCATTTCTCTTTCTTTTCATCATGGAGAAAAGGCATTAACAACTTAATCATCTTATTATTACATCAAAGTAAGAAGAATTTACAAGGGGCTCTGGCAGCGTGTTGCTAAATTGCCAGGTGCCTGCTATGCTCTCACCGAAAGTCTGAAACCGGTAAATCCAATCCAGCCTCGCTATCTAGCAAAATTTGTGTAAAAAAATCACAAACTTTGATGCTTGTTTGACAACCAGCCTTTGAATAAACGAAAGAATCATGATGAATCTGAGAATATAGCCCTTTGGCATGGTTAAGGGGGGTTAGCCTTGTGACTTGTGAGAATGTTCACTTCAGTTCATGTATCCACGGCAGTTAAGAGCTTTACACAGACAAGGGACCCTGCAGTCCTCGGACTCGTCAGGGTCAAACAAGTAGTCATAGCTGCACACAAGAGGGAGAGACGGATCAGAAAATTGTAGAGATCCATAGCTTCAGGAATGGAGACAGTTAGCTGTACTCTCAAGGTATAAAAGGGGCATCAGGACAGGGCAGGGTAAGGAGCAAATTACGTTAGTTCTTCGCCAGCGGAGACGTCTCTTTTGGCGATAAGAATTATCTGGCTCTTTTCATCGCCAACACTCATGATCCTTGCGTAGCAATTAGGCATACACTGAAAGCGATGACGATAATGTTTAGCTGTTATATTTTGTTGGGCTATTAAGGTAGAGAGAAGATGCAAATGGGAAACCCAAAGTATTACCGAGTGATTAATTAGGCGGGCTATGTTCCCTTTCTCTGTTGCATCAACGACAACGTCTTCGCTGATCTTGAACAGCTGCAGTGCAAAAGAAAGAATCATCACCATCACACATAGTTAAGATGTGGTATTTCCAGTAGATCAGTGACCTATCTGGAAATCATTGCATTATTCACAGGTAGAACTGCCTAAATAATTCAAGTCAAAAGTAGAACAGATGACCTCCACAAAATAACACAGTGAACAACTTACATAACAATCTTTCTTCTCCCTGTGATATCGTGCTTCCCTCAAATCTGCAACACTACGTCTAACTTGGTCACCGCGATATTCGATAACCTAGCACAAAAGTGGTCCATTGACATGTTAAGAACAGGCTCCTAGTATTTGGATGCACAACAAACAACAGAACTGGAATGCTAACTATTTACCATGATAAACTATTGGGTTTTATTGGAAAAAATGCATATAACTTAAATGGCATACCATTTGCCCCTCCTGGATTTTCTTAGCAGCAAAGAGTCCCCATCCATGTATTCCAGATCGACCACAAGAGACCCTTTTGTTTTCTATTTTCTGAAATCATCAAACATTTAGTGTATCAGTATGCTGAAATCAAATATTAAAAAGAACAATCCGTCAGAAACTAAACCTGTAAATACCGAAGTCGTTCTCTAAAAGTTGCGAAGGATTTTTCATCCTTTTGATCCTGTTAACAAGTGGGGGTAAGATGCATAAGTTCTCGCATTCAATGGTTGCTGGAAGAAAGACAATACAGTAGTTAGAATGGGATAGTTACCATGCAAGCGTTCAAACCCTCAATTGACTCTTGGGAATGATGTCGGGGTCCCATTATTCTGTGGGCAATTGCCTCTCCTGGTTCTTTCTGGAACATGCAGAAAATTTAGTGCTAGAGCTAGCTTATAACAGAAACAAAACCTAGGCAGATCCATATTCATCCATATGATAGACATCCTATTATTCCAAAAGAACTGTATATAACTGCCACTAAGAGTCCCATCCTTTGAACATGCAAAACCAAGGATAGATTACAGCATGAGAAACCCATGCAGACAAGAATCTAAATTGCTTGGATGAACTAAGAATTTTACATAAACTAAAAAGGAAACTACCAAAAGGAGAAAGAACATAAAAAGTCTAAAGGATGGGCTACAAAGAATTACAAAATGAAAGTGGACAGTGTAACAAATTCGTGAATTATCCCTGCCAATTAACTATATCTTTTATTGTATTGGGAGGCAGTGACGGAGCCATGTATTGTCAGCTGACGCCACAGCTTTTTTTGCAAATACCATTGTGAGTCTCATTTTTTTACATATAAGTCCATTGAAATTTACAAAAATGACCCCCACTAAAATATAATGCAATGGTATTTGACCCCACAGGGTAAAATTCCTGGCTCTGCTACTGTTGGGAGGAGCAACAGAACAAAACAGAATAGGGGCGTCATAAAATACCTTATTTTTCAGCATTTCATAAGGTAGGCACCTTGCAGCTGGACAGTCAGAAATTTTAGCAGGAAGGACTTTCTCCTGTAGATTCTCTTTCCTGACAAGTCTTGTACCACTCTGTTTCTCATTATTTTGGGGCAAAAATTTGGTTGAGAAAACTCCTTCAGGCGTCTTAACTATCAAGACATTATCTGGGTCAGGAGTACTGCAAAGGGTCAGTAGAACAGGTGTAAGTAACACGAATTTGTGCCACTTAATCCTTTAAGGTAGAATTGCCACTCCCACAAATAACTGAGACAACAGAACTGTTCCAATATCTTGTCAATTTAATGCATCAGATTACTATTGATTTTGCTCAAAAAAGAATGTATCGCTATGCTACTAAGATGAACAACAAAAAGAAAGAACAAGGTCTGGAAAATAAGAGTCATGACTCATGAGCCTATATTGGAACTATTATTTTTAATGGAAACAATTTGATGAATTGATATATATTTGAACAGAGGGTGAGACAGTAAGGTGAAAAAAAATTACCTGTGAAATGCACAGTAGGAAACCATTCTTGTTATGTTCCTTCCATTTTTTTCAGAGTATTGCAACTACAAGCAACAGAAAAACATCGATTATGATAAACTGTATCCAGCTGTGCATTAATGAAGAAACAATTGACTAATAAATTAACATCAAATGATACAGAATAAATTTTAAACAAATGTACAGGTCACGCTTCAATGGAATAGCTTATATGGAAAAATGAAGCATAAGGCTTGCGCTCTTCAAAGCAACAGTACACAGAATCAATTCAAAAACCAAGCGGGCGAGTACAAGTGCACAAAACTCTCCCAGACAAGCATCATAAGACTCGTAAGTCACAAAATGAATTTATTTTTTATTTAAGCAAGAAAAGGGTTCCCACAGTCTACCTCCATGCGATATCCTGCTCTTGATGCACACATTGCATGATAATAAGTAGAGCACTTGTAGCACTGAGTGCAGGCACCATGCATCTGCTTGCATATAACACATGCCTGGAATTCATATGACAACATAGTGTAAATAAACATCACGACAGGAATTCAACAAATAAACAGACAATAAATATCCAATGCATAACATTATATACAAAATAACAATGAGAAATCTTAACCTTCTTAAAGTACTCTGAAGGGATGCTCAATATGCCCATGGCTGGCTCCATTGTCTCATCAACAGGAAAAGAGACTTTAGGTTGAAACCAGGCACATGTAACATGAACCCATAGTTGGTCAATATCTGTTGGCTTGAGAGCACCGCCTAAAGCAATTAAAAAAGAAAAGGTGAATACTGATAGCATTAAAAAATAATATAATGCAGCGAACCAAGACTAGGAAAAATGGACACCAAGCACCACTGCAATTTAATCAAATGGGGTACATCATATAAACATAATATAAGGAACACTGGAAAGCCTCAGAAAAAAATGTGAGGTATCAGTATCATTCAATACTGTGATGACATACAACATCATGGCAGGAATGATACCTTTGACAGGACAAAGACAACATTCTCTTTTTTGTTTCGGCAATTCACATGCTCGACAGACCCAATTTGTAAAATCTTGTACATCACGTGCTCCATAGCACTCTTGGTGGACAGCTATTTGGCATCTGCACATAAAGATTTTGGACAAGTTTTTCAGCTACACGCAGTCCTAAAACATATAATGAATCCATAAACTAAGGGTGTCAAAAAAACCTCAAAGATTAGCAGGAAATACCTGTTGCAAATAATAATTTTATTGTAGTCCCAATCCTCAACCCATCGACAAACAGCACAACGTTCAGTTGTCCATCTAGCATTGACAGGTCTAAAAGAATTTGCTGCAAGCATCAAATTCATTTGTTGTGAAACAAGTTGCACACACCAACTGCAGAAACCAACATAAACTCAAGAGCCAATGTACCTAGCAATTTCAGCAACTCTTCTTTATTAATACTTGGTGTAGAAGACTTCACATTTGCGCAGGGAATATCATCCAACTGAAGGTCAGACAAACATGAAAGAAGTCATATCAAGTTCTCATACCTTTGAATTTTATTGAAAACTAGGTGAATTCAAGTTTAGCGATCATTATAGACCACCAACTTTCAGATAAATGAAGATCTTAAAGGCTTACCAAGGTTACCAATGGATCCCCATTGCTCTTAAGTTTAACGCTCATCTTCCAGTTCTTCTTCCTTGAACCAGTATGTCTCTCCCACTCACTCAGACTCATCAGCCTTTCTTTGCAAGAATTACATTGGCATAGTATCCTGCCAATAACAATACAAAGTCAATACCAACAGTTGCACCAGCCACAGCCACATCAGGAAATCAGTTTATAGTCCTTTAGAAAGAAAGGAATACATGAATTTCTTTAATATTGAACAATCGACCTTTCAAATGTTGTTTTTCTTATTGAGCCTTCTAAGCCTTGTGGCACAAAATATCCAATATGGCTAAATTGGTTAAGTGTCAATTTTCATGCCAGATGAATGAAACAAAAGAGAAATATATGCCCCTAGGAAAATAACCTATCACCTAAATCTAGTAGTCCTTCAAAGAACATATGACTCTACATGATATGGGGGATTGAGAAATAAAACACGCTAAAATCACTTAAAGAGTATTGATATCCATGTAATAAGCTTAAAGAAGCATGCTGGCTGTAGATTAAATAGAAGATATGCAGAATACATACATGTGCTTCTTAGGTAAATACATTCCGTCCATCCCAAAGCAGAACACAGGTATCATTTCCGGCAGTTTTTCCTTAGAAGTGCTAGCACATCTGTGTATAGATACATTAGAAAGTGGCATGCTTATAATCATTTGAGTAACGTTAAATAGAAGTCAATAGGTTGGATGAAAAAATTAAATAACTCACTCTGAACTGTTCGGAGTGTTCATTTGTTCAACAGGAGGTACTGTCTTGCGTTTTGATTTGCAATCTGGACAGAAGTAATCGGCATTTTCTAAGTCCTATAAAACAGTACTGGAGTCAGCAAATTATATACAGTTATTATTCGTAGAACTGTTCGATATCTGTGTCAAACAATAGGATAAAAAATATAAACATCAAAACAAAAGAAGCAGATTACCTCCATGTTGATGCATGTTAGGTCACATTCTACGTGAACCCAAATTTGACACTCATCACAACAAACCTGCAAAGAAGGGTGTTGCAGGTTGTGAGCCTTGACCCATGGACAAATCAAGAGAACATGTAGAATATAACAGCGACGAAACACATATATTTCTAAGCTCTTACCCAATTTCCACCATCTGTGTGGTGCCAGATTTTCTTGCATATGCCACAGTACTGCTTTGACTGCAATAGCTGCAGATATAATAAAATTTGCACACATAAGGCACCATAAAAACAGAAAACAGTAATGGAACACACAAAAACCCATCTCAAATGTACGGCCGCATACCTTATCACAGTGTCTACAGAGTAACTGCTCTCCCGCTTGCTTCTTTTTCTTCGCGATCTTGGGTGGAACACGATTACCACAACTATCACAACATCCAGTTGATTTGCCAACAACCTGCAGTGTTGATTAGATTGCGGCTCAGCTGAAAGTTGTAATAAGGCAGTCACAAGCTCATATCTTTACATTTGTGATGCATCCGGAACTTACCTGAGCCTCCGATTGACATTCCTGGTCATTGTTAGAACCACTCCCTTCCTGTAACCCGTCAGGGACAGACTGGTCATTGACAGACTTCTCTAGTGAGCACCCCTCATCCATTTCGAGCTCACAAAACCCACGCTCAGCAAGGAAAGCCTCCTCAATTGCTTGACGGAATCTGTTTGCCTTGAGTTTATACAAAGCCTGACCCTGAAACCTGGGAGACCAAAGAAATTTCAGATAGCACGCAGGTAAATAAATCCCCATAGCAGCATTTTTTTTAAAAAAAAACGAACGTATGCCAGTAGCTTACCGGTCTAAGTAGTCCACAAATGGAAAGATCATCCCTTGCTTAATCCATCCATAGTCCTGCGATGCAAAGAAATACAGTACTGTAAGTTGACGCAAACCAAAAAAAAAAAAACAGAAAGGGACTGTTTGGCCCATGCGACACATGGTTTACCCTGTTTCAGTTGCACTTCGTGGAACTCTTATTCCACATTTAAATTCAAAAAAAAAATCACATTTAAATGTTGGGTTGTGGATTTCAAGGACAAAACAAAAACCAACACCCCACAAAGCTTACCCTGCCATGCCCGCCAGAAGAGAATCCAAAGAACATGACGCAGAGTGCACCCGGGATGCAGGAGTTCAACACGACCGCTGGCGCGTGGAGCAGTGGGTCAATCACCACCGCAGGCCATGCTGGGCACTTCTTCCCGGACCTCGCCCACACGACATCACCCAGCACGAAATCCTCCGGCCAGTAAAAATCCTCCTTTTTATCGCCGCCCTCCCTCTTCGGCTTGCACTCCACCACCACCACGGGCTTCCCCTCCGGCGCCACGCTCCCGCCGGCATTGCTCAGCGACGTCACCACGCTGCCGCTGAACCCGCTGGAGCTGCTGCTCCTGCGGATATTCCTGCACGCCCGGTACAGCTCCTCCTCCGTCTGCGCCGGCCGCTCGTCGCCGGGCCACACCGCGGTCTCCACGGCGCCGAAGGCCGCCGCCGTCGCGCCTTGTTGCTCCACCGCGCGCACCTCCACATCGTACACCTCCCCGTCCCCGCCCTCCCGCGCGGCCGCCTTCTTCGCGGGCCTCCCCTTCTTCGCGGGCGGCAGCGGCAGCGACACCACCGAGTCCCTAAACCGCGAGGGGACCACCCGCTCGCGGCGGCGCTTGGCGGGCACCACCGCCGCGCCGCTCCCCTCACCACCCCCGGCGGGGGGGGTGGGCCCCTCCTCCATCTCCAACTCCCCGGGGAGGGGGACGACGGCGGCGGCGGTGCAGCGCTTGAGCGGGATGCGGGACGCGAGCATCCCCGCCGCGCCGAAACAAAACCCTAGAATTGAACTCCCTTCCTCCCCCCAACTCGTCGGTGGCCAAATCCTCCGCGTGTTAGGGTTCCGAGTTTCCGACCGCTGGGGCCGAGGGATTTTAAGGATCTCGGCGGGGGAATCCGAGTGCGGTTCGGAGGCGAGGCGAGGGCGAAAAATTTGGGTTCCCTCGCAGGGAGGGGCTCGGGTTTTGAACGAAAATTTCGAACGCGATGTCGGGGGGACGAGGCGGAGGCGAGAGGTGGGGGAAGACGACTCGTCGGCGCGCGGCGGGGGGATGAGATGGGAGGCTGACAGGTGGGGCCGTGACGGCGTGAGGTAGTGGGGAAAAGGGTTTTTTCGCGCGGATCTTGGGGGGGGGGGGGGGGGTGTTTGTGGCGCGCGGGGAGGCGGAGCTCTAGTCGGGCAACGAATTTCTGGGTCGTTTCAGTTTTCGACGTGGATAAGGTGTGACGCACGCAAGATGTGTACCGTACCACCTTTTGAAACAGGTCAGACGACTGAAAGCGTACTCCCTCCGTAAATAAAAAAAAAAAATAAACCTTAAGTTTTCGTGTCCAACATTTAGCTATCCGTCTTATATGAAATTTTTTTATAATTAGTATTTTCATTGTTGTTAGATGATAAAACATGATTAATATTTTTATGCGTGACTTGTCTTTTTAATTTTTTTCATAATTTTTTCAAATAATACAGGCGGTCAAATATTAGACACGGAAATCTAGGATTTGTCTTTTTTTTTACGGGAGGAGTACATGTGAACATGTCGCTTGTTCACGGAATAAGCCAAACGGTATATTTACAAATGAATAATAATCTTGTGAATAAAACTTTTATATAAATGTTCTTAGAGACATAAAAGCAAAGGCTGAAAAATAAACTTCGATAAAAAAAAACCTTAAAATCAGCTCTAAATTTAAAATTGAAAATTCATAACTAATAAGCATAAGCGAAAAGATGATGTCCATGGGCTCTCGTCCGGGCTTTGAACTCTTTGATGAGCACTGTGGGCACCTCTCGGGTTTGAGCACCAGATAACAGAATGGTACTTACCAGCAAATTTTAGCATTTTTTTTGGGTCGAAATTAAATTATTCGAAACCATTTGAGGTTTTACTCGGGATATACTTTTTGAAACATCAAAATTTCACAGTTCCCACTCGATTTTCATCAAAAACGTATACGCCTTAGTTGAGCAACATAAAGGCATTAAAAGGAAAATAACGGCAAAAGAAGTACTCATAGGATATCTCAAAATATGTTTAGATAAGCTCTGTATTCAGTACTAGGATATATTCCGTTCAACTAAAATCTCTTCTATTTTGCAAGGGAGAGAATAGCACAAACGGAGAGAGTGGTAGTACTTTACATAACATTGCATCAATGATGAACAAAATGATGGCACCAACATCTCCTTACCCGAAGCTCCCCTTCCTCCATTCAAAGTTTCCGAAGGGCCGAGCTATATATTTTTTTATTGAAAAAAAGTAAAAAATTTCAACATCTATTTATACTGTAAATTCTACTACCTCCATCCAAAAAATATAACCAAAATATAAGACATAACCACCACTATAAAAAATAATTATTACCACATTCTTATTTGGATCATCTTAACAAATATAATACATGCACCTGATATGATTAAAGATCATGAGGGCAAAGGATTAAAAAACGAATTTAGAGGAAACAAGGGTAACAGTTAAACGTGTATGCATGTGTGTCTTGTATTACAATGTAACATAAAAAAGGTTGCGCCTATTACAATGTAAGATTTACCCCTAATACAATGTATACTTGTATGATAAATTTAATAGTTACGATGTAAGATACTAAGATATACTCCTAACAAAAAAGCGACATAAATATGTACTATGACTTATATATCTTGATCATGAAAATGCCATCAAAGCAATAGTTATATAGCTAACTTAGCTCCATAATTCTGTAGTAATAGTTTAGGCCAAGTTAACAACAACAACAAAGTACTAAAATACTTGGTAAGAGAGAGAGACAAGTTCATCCACCCCATATAAAATCAACCTAGTATCATATGTGATACGTCATAGTATTATAAAATCAACCTAGTATCATATGTGATACGTCGTAGTATTATGAATCTAAACATGTATTATATTATTTTTTTTATGAAACAAAAATAATATTAGATGGACTCACGTTAATGTCTTATCCAGGTAGCTAACATTTTGCAACGGACAAACAGAGCGATCCGATGGCCAAACAATCCACTGAAATCTAAGCAGAGAATCTAGCAGACAACTTTTTTGATCTCCATTGTTCTTCCAAGCGGGTTGGTGTCAGGATGGGGAAGAGAGCTGACAAGGGCAATTTTATCATTATTTAATGCTCCCTCGTCCCAAAGTGCTTAGTTTTCCATATCCAAAGTTAAATTATCCGTCTTATTTATTTTTTTTACGATATTAAATGATAAAACATAAATATTACTTTATAGGTGACTTATTTTTTAAAATATTTTCGTAAATATTTTAAATAAGACAGACGATTATACGTTGGACACGGAAACCTGCAGCTACACTTAGAGTATCCACGATGTAATGCAAAAGTAGTCTATAAGCAATATAATATTTCATTCAGCCACCTAGCAATATTGTTGAAGTAGTCCACAGCAAAGAAATAACAAGAACTACCCATAAGCATATGGGTTGCTCATAGAGAATAAAATATATTATTTGTCTCTACTTTCTCTTTCAATATTATTTGCTATCTATATACATTGTGAAAGGCTACAATAGTTCTCATATATATTGTTTTCCCTTATATATAAGGGCATGCTCAATGTATATGGACTACCTTAGTATTATGGTGGGACCCACTAAAACGTGTTATCATGTCCACAATGTATATGTTGAGAGAGGATATTAAAGTGGATCCCACAAACCCAAGATTAGCCATTGAGAGAGGGAGAGAGAGTAACACTACCATGAGAGAGGAAGGAGTAATATATTTTTTATTCCTTGTGGATGGTCTTTATGCATATGGCTAGCTCAAGCAAATGCCACCTATAAGAACTACTCTCACAATGTATAAGATTCACTTTAGAGGCTTAAGACCCATTCTTATATTCACATTGTGGCTGCCCTAACAAACTCATGTATTTTCGATGTTAGATTCTATAATTTCCTACATTCCTTCCAAGTATAAGGGTAAGAGGGGCATTTTCATAACGGTATATATATATATATATATATATATATATATATATATATATATATATATATATATATAAGGAAATGAATAGAAGTGTAGAACCTAGGGACGAAATGAGTACAAGGAGTTTTCTGCAATGGTAAGCAAGTATGTTGTTCATTATTATACAAGTGACCAATCTTACGAAGTCACTTGGATAAATAAACAGGTCAAAATAATGTTGAATTTACACGTGTGATTATACCCTGCAGCGCAAGCTACTTGTATGCTTTTTAAATAACCAAATAGAAGTATAGGTCTTAGGACCCCAGTCACCCCACACAAGAGTATAAAGGCTAAATTTTAGATGCCAGTGATACAACATGGAGTAGATAAATAGAGTTATGAAGTGATGAAAGTCCCAAGAACTGTCAAACTACATTACTTCGGTGGCTAAACATACAACAGCATAAGCATTTCAAATAATTAATATTTACAACATATATGCATGCATGGTTTATGTACAACATACACGCTGGTTTGTGCCTTTGTGGATACTACATTGCGGATAGGGATCCTAGTACAGGCTTTCTAGTTGGTAGGTCACATTGTCACAGAGAAAATAGTGATTACAGTTTATGGACAATGCTATTTTCTAAAGCACGTCTAACAAAACAACATGACGGCACCAGAACCCGTTTGACCATATCACAATACAGTTTCAGTACCAGTGTACCACCCTCACTAGTCCCTACATACTACATGTCTGCACAAATGACAAATATTAGTTCCAACTATCACAGTTTCAACAGACTTTCAAGGAAATTAACTCACTCTGAACTGTTAGGGGTGTTCATTTGTTCAACTGGAGATATTCTTGCGTTTTGATTTGCAATCCGGACAGAAATAATCAGCATTTTCCAAGTCCTATAAAATTATATTCAGTTATTCATTCATAGAAATACTTGATATAGATGCCAAACGACTAAAAAATATCAACATTGAAACAAAAGAAGCAAATTACCTCCATCTTGATGCATGTCTGGTCACATTCTACATGAACCCAAATTTGACACTCATCACAACAAACCTGCAAACAAGTGTGTCACTGTGTTGCAGGTCATGTCCTTGACCCCTAGACCAATCAAGAGAACATGTAGAATATAGCAACAACAAAGCACATATGTTTCTAGCTCTTACCCAATTTCCACCATCTGTATGGTGCCAAATTTTCTTGCATATGCCACAGTACTGCTTTGACTGTAATAGCTGCAGATATAATAATGTTTACACGCATAAGGCAAAATAAAAACAGAAAATGAAATGGAACACACAAAAACACCTCTCCAATGTCCAAGCAACATACCTTATCACAGTGCCTACAGAGTAATCGTTCTCCCGCTTGCTTCTTTTTGCTTGCTATCTTGCATGGAAGACGATTACCGCAAATATCACATCCAGGTGATTTGCCAACAACCTGTAGTACAGTTGATTAGATCGCAGCTCAGTTGAAAGCTGTACTAACAAATGAGGCAGTCACAAGCCCATATCTTTGAAGTTGTGCAGCATCCATCCAATTACCTGAGCCTCCGATTGGCATTCCTGCTCATTATTAGAACCAGACCCTTCCAGTAACCCGTCAGGGATGGACTGGTCATTGACAGACTTCTCTAGTGAGCACCCCTCATCCGTTTCGAGCTCAAAAAGGCCACGCTCAGCAAGGAAAGCCTCCTCAATTGCTTCACGGAATCTGCTTGCCTTGATCTTATATAAAGTTTGGCCCTTAAACCTGGGAGACGAGAGAAATTTCAGATACCACGCAGGTAAAGAAAGAAAAGCCCCATTCACCACGCAGCTTACCTATCTAGGTACTCCACAAAGGGAAAGATCAACCCTTGCTTAACCCATCCATAGTCCTACAAAGAAATGCAGTAGTGTGAGTTGATGGAAGCCAAGAAAAAAAATAACAGAAAGGGGATGTCTGGTATCCCTCACATGGTTAACCCTGTTTCAGTTGCTCTTCGCCGTATTCTTGTCTAAGTTGAGTTCTATCAAGGACAAAGCAAAAAAACAAAAAACAAAAGAACACCCCGAATGCTTAACCAGAAAGTTGTGGTGAATAATCTTGTGATCTTTCCTTGTGTTGGCGTTCAGTAGTTTGTGTGTGCTTCTGTTTTATTAAGCCTGTGTTTTATGACCTGTTGAGTTGCGTTGTATTTGGTTGAATTGGTGTAATAATTAGTTGTAGCTCTTTGAGTAGATGCCGAGATTCTATTCCATTATCTAAAAAAGGAAGTTGTGGTGAATTACCCTGAGGCCGCTATTAGAGTATCCGAAGAACATGACGCAGAGTGCACCCGGGATGCAGGAGTTCAAGACGACCCTTGGCGCATGAAGCAGTGGATCAATCACCAGCGCAGGCCATGCCGGGCACTTCTTCCCCGACCTCGCCCACACAACATCCCCGAGCACGAATTCCTCCGGCCAGTAGAAATCCTCTTTCCTCTCGCCGCCATCGCTCTTCGGCTTGCACTCCACCACCACCGTGGGCTTCCCCTCCGGCCGCCCATTCCCCCCGCCGCCGCCGGCATTGCTCAAGGACGTCACCGCGCTGCTACCGCTGAAGATGCTGCTGCTGAAGCTACCGGAGGTGGAGGTGCTGCTTCTCCTGATGTTCCTGCACGCCCAGTACAGCTCCTCCTCCGTCTGCACCGGCCGCTCGTCGCCGGTCCACAGCATGCCGGGATCCCCTTCTTCCAGCTCCACGTCGTAGAGCTCCCCGTCCACAACTCCCCCCTCCGCCGCGGCCTCCGCGGGCTTGCCCTTCTTCGCGGCGGCCGTCGGGAGCACCAGCACCGAGTCCTTGAACCGCGACGGTAACACCCGCTCGCGGCGGCGCTTGGCCGGCATCATCATGCCGCTCCCCTCTCCGGCAGGGGGCGGCTCCCCCATCTCTCCCCGGCGACGGCGGCGGCGACGGCTCAGCGATTGAGCGGGATGCGGGACGCGAGCATCGCAACCAACCCCGGGGGGGAGACAAACCCTAGAATCCCCGGCTCGGTTGGCCAGCCAATCCGCGGGGCTCCGGGATCTCGACTCCTGGGAGAGGAAATCGAGGAGGCAACGCGCCGGCGCCGGGCGGGGCGGCGGGCGAGAGAATTTTTGGGATCTCTCCGGTACTCCGATCGAGCTCGAGGGATGGGGGGATGCGGCGCGATGTCGGACAGGAAGCGAGGTGAGTGAGCCTGCCGAGGTAGAGGCAGTGAGGCAGGGTGGGGGAAGGAAGACGACGACGACGACGAATCTGGCGCCGGGGAGATGAGACGAGAGATTGGCCGCGTGGCAGCAGTTCGGTTACGTGGCAATCTTGTCAATAAATAAACTACTAGTAAAAGAAAGTATTTATGGAGAAAAATACATTTCATCTGTTTTATATCGTAAAGCCGTTTTAACTTTTTTCTTAAGTTTAACTAAATTTATAAAAAAATCTAGCAACATTTTTAACATAAAACAAATAAACTATCAAAATATATTAAATTTTAGTTTTAATAAAAACTAGTTTGATGTTATAGATATTGCTAAGTTTTTCTACAAATTAGAAAAAATGCCCGTGCGTTGCAACGGGTGAATGTTATTTTAATCTTATTATTGTTATATACGGTTTAATTAAGGTGAAATTTACTGTGGGAATTCGCTTAAAATCATGAGCTTTAATTAGAATCCGATTGTCTGAAGTTATCATGCGAGTTTTTTAAAGAGATTTCTTATACGACTCTTATGTATTTTCAAAAGCAAACGGACTTAATAAACAACTCGAATACGGATATTTATTTCTAAAAGTGAACGAACTTGAAAACCGACTCATACACAGATGACGTACCAAAACACCAGCAAAAACATCTTCAATTCTTATAATAATAGAGATTTGGTCAAACTTAAAAGCTAGGAAAAAAATTAAAATGACTTATAATATGAAATGGAGCATGTACTCTTTATAACTAACTTTACATGTCATCCTCTACTTATCTTCTCTTCCTCTCTTCCTACTTCTCTCGATCTTGCTCCTCGTAGCCCCATCATTATTATTGTCGCCACTTTCCTATCACCTTACATGATTTGCTCGTCCTTGTAAAAAATCCCTTTGCCACAAGCTGATGTCGTTGCAGCCATCGACAAGTCAAATAGCCAATGTCGTCTATAAGCTCACCGGTACTACCCTTCATCAGAGTTTGTGCATTTTTCACTGGATCGCATAGAGATGGAATGCTGAGCTAGAGCGAGAGGTGGCTATAGCTTCACCCTCGATGTGTCCATGAGGTCGCCGCCGGCGTGAGGTGGCTAGATCTAGTCGTTGCAACACCACTAGATCTAAAGGTTGTGTGGCCATGAATCGAGTTAGCAAGGGCGAAACAATATAGGGTATTGGTCGCCTCAAGCTCATGGGAAGGGGTGTGTCATTTTTACCGTTGCCTTGAGCCATCCAAATCTTAGATACGTGAGATCATCTTCGTCATTTCGGTGGCCTACTACCGGAACATGGTTGTTGCATATATTCCATCGGCACAATGACATGGAGCCCCACCATGCAACACAAGGTAGGTGTTAAGAGGCTGAGCTGTAGACTTGCGGTGCATGTCTTGCCAGAAAGCTCAATGGAGCCAGTGGACTTAGCATGTGTTATTTGGCGGTTTCATGAAAGCACAGCACACACATTAGCGTGTTTAGTAAGGAAAAAATATACATGTCCAACTGAACCAATTCTCTAGCTTGTGTTGAGGATGTGCATGTGATATGTATGTTAAGTGTTCGACTATTGTATTTGAAAGAAAACAACATAACCAATGAATCGTGTTCCTAAACTTCCCATTTGTTTGTTCTTCTTTAGCCTTTTTGGCAAACGGTGGCACAAAATGGTTTGTGTGGATTGAAAGCATTACTAGTGACTGGATTAATGTACTATGGTATTAAACAAACCACTAAAGAAAACTATCGAGTTGATATTTAACTCTTAAAAGTTAACCAAAATGTAGGACTAGTTCCAAACAGCACCACCAACCAATAATTAAATTATAAAAGAAGGGAGCATATATATTAACATAATACAAATGTTCATCCAAAATTATTCGTTTGTCTATCTAGATTTGACTAAATTAAGTAGTTGTTTAACTAGTATATCAGGATTCATTACTTGAGTGGTGGTAGAAATATACTGTGCGCAGGGAAATCAAAGGCCATAAAGACCACGATGTTTTTGGTAGCTTGGAAAATCTAGAGTGAACACAATAGACAAGTCTTCAACCAACAAGAGAGAGAGAGAGAGAGAGGAAGGTGTCTCAAATTGTTGAAAGAAATCAACATTTGAGTTATGTGTAGAGTGAAAGACTTAGCGAGAACATCTAGCTTAACATAGCCGTGTAGTTTATGAAGACTCCACAGTCATATTTTTTTCTTATGTTTTTGTCGACTGTAAGTATTGTTTGTACTGAAATATTGGGCCTGTTCACTTTGATGCTATTTTCAACCTTACCAAATTTTGGTAAAATTACCAAAAAAATATCTACATTTAGTTTGCTGCTAAATTTTGGTAACTATATAAGAAATCCTACCAAAATTTTGACAACTATGCCAAAATTTTTGGCAATGCCAAATTTCGGTAAGTTTTTTTTCATCAAAGTGAACATGCCCATTGTTACTCATTCCTAATACTATAGGAACAGCAATATTTAGAAAAAAAAACAGTCATATTTGTTTGAAAAACTTTTTTCTCAGCTTTGAAGAGGTTACTTTGAGAACAAGCATGAGAAGGCCACAGCTGTCATTTTCAGTCTCGGCCTAAAGCCCAAGAAAGAAAAAGGCCTAAACCCCTTAGGCCCTTAACGCCACCAAGAGTCCAACACCAAGCCGCACCAGATCTCCCTCTCCCGAACCCCAGCGCCGCCGCCGCCGCCGCCGCCGATCGCATCGGGCCGCCATGGAGGACGTCGTCACCGACGCGCCGCCGCCGTCCCGCTTCTCCCCGGACGACCTCGACAACTTCGCCGCTCCACCGCCGCAGCCCACCCCTATCCTCGTCGTCTCCCCCGCCAACCCTAGCCCCGCCCCGCGCCGCCTCCTCATCCTCCTCATCTCCCCGACCTCGCTCGCGCTCCTCCCCCACCTCCCCTCGCCGCCTCCGCTGCACGCCTCCCTCCTCCTCCCCGAGCTCCCCCTGGGGCGCTCCCAGCCACCCATCCGCGTGTATCTCCATGCCCCCTCGGGCACCCTCCTCGCCGCCGCACACGGCCCCGCCCCCGTCCCCGCCCACCGCGCGCGCGCCGTCGCCAGGAGCCTCGTGTCCGCCCTCCAGCCCGAGGAGGTGCTGGTGCTCGACGCGGTCCGGAGCGGGGCCTACAGGGGCAGGCTCGCCGCGGACGAGCCCGTGGAGGGGAAGCTGGAGACCAGGGCGGCGCGGGGGCGGGGAGGCGTCGGCGCGGCCCGCGGCGTGGCGGCGCTGGCCCCGCCCGGGAGCGTGGTGGACGGGCTCGGCGCCGCGGTGTTGGCGGAGTGCGAGATGCGCGGGAAGGCGGCGAGCATGGTGGTGACGTGGCCGGAGGGCGCGAGGCCGGCGGAGTTCGGCGTCATGCGGCGCGTGGCGGCGGAGCTCGGCGTCGACCCGGCCAAGGCGGCGGCCGGGAGGGTCGCCGGCCGGGCCGAGCTGGACGCGCTGTACACTTGAGTTGATTCGCTCGTTTTTTCGCTGTGATTGTGTTGCACGGTTGCTCGTGATGAGTTTGTAATGGAGAAAGAAAAAACTGGGATTATATGTGTGACAAAGATGATTTCTTTGTGTTTTGAGACTATCTGCCTCATGGATTCTTAATATGCAAAGCAAACAATTTTCTGGTTTTGTTGTGTGTCATCACCAGTACATTTTGTTGTGCTGCCGGTTATTTCACAAAAATGTGGAATAATTAACTATTTACCACTCTTACGAATAGTGCTAAATTATTTGCCACTGAACCCACGTGTCATAGACGTATGAGGGCTCAGATGTTATAGACAGCGAGTGACAAATAATTAATTGTAGTAATAATTAATTTTTGGGTCCACATGAGGAACCAAAAATGTTGTGGTATTTAGTTTGTTTAATTTAATTTAATTTAATTGTAGTAAAAAATAAAAAAAAACGTGAGAACAAAGGCAGCAAGAAAATGGTCCTTTAAAACGCTGGACTTTATCGTATTTCGCAAGAATAATAAAATTCCTGCAAACTCCAAAAGATAGAGAGGAATTAGTTTAATTCCCGCAAAGATCTTTGCGAAATTGCTCTTTCTAAGGGATATGCTTCCCTCTCACAATGTGGCATAAGAAAGATACACATGGAGAAGCAAATGATTTGGAGGAGAAAACATACTCGGCACACATAATTCAAGTTTGGAAAGTTTAAATTGCTTGAAAAAAAAATAAGATCCGACGAGAGGATGCCAAGTGTGATAATGGATTAATAGATCACACATAAGCGACACATCAAACTACATGAGAACCCACCCACGTGATCTTTTGTTGCTCAACTTAAGTTTAGCCTTTAGTTTAGAACACTTGAATAATTGAGTTTCACTTTGGAATGTATTTCCACCTAAAATTTCAGCACATAAATTAGAGAGAGAGGCCGCGAAAATCCCAAACTAAACGAAGCCTAATGGGCCGAATTTATAACGGGCCAAAGTAATTTGGGATCTTTACTACACACCATCGAGGTCGTCTTCTCCATCAACCTCGCCTTTCGCCTCTCCGATTCAAGCCGACGAGGCGACGATGGACGCCCTCACCCGCCTCCACCGCGCCCTCGCCGGCGGCGACGACGACGAGGAGCAGCCGGAGGATTCTATCCTTGGCGACACCGAGGGCATATGCTCCCTATCCCCTGTCCAGGTAAACCCAGGAACTTGGACAATCCCCTCGAATGCAGGATCAAATGTCTTGGGGTTTGCGTCGATCTGATTTTGTTGCTCTTCGCCTTGGCTTCTCCAGCGGGTCTACGGCTTCGCCGCGTGCTTGGTTGCGGGACTGGCTCTGATGATCCTGGTACGCACGCACGACGCTGCAATTTGGTGCCTGAAATGCAATTCGTTGTCCGTACGGGCTTGCGGCTGCTAGTTCCTCATGTGGATGTCGAATTAGCTTTGTAGGTGTTGCTGTTTCCACCAACAGGATCGTATACACAATGTATTTAAGCAAAAATAGTAGTATCCGCTATCCAATGCCTCTTGGGTGGTTATACGGAAATATGTGATTTGAAATTTAGGTTTACCAAAATATCAGCAAGTTTAAAGTCCTCACCAGAAGGGGAAAGAAACAAAACCAAGTTTCAAGTGTTCTGACATATGGTCACTCCGCAGTCTACTCTTTAAGAAAATTGGTTTAGCTGCAATTGTAAATTATTAAAGTTGCCTGTCTCAGGAGGCAGGAGCACATGATATGTTTTATTGTCTCAGTCCTAGAGAAGTAGTGCTATTGTTTTCTCTTAGGTGCACTGTAGATCTTCATTGCTAATTGCTATGCTCACGAGTACTAATTTGTTGGTTTGATCTAAGATAAATAAGACGATTTGTTAATTGACTGAATTCCACAGGGGCAAAGAAATCACATTATTAGGAAATTAAAACCAGATGCTTTACTGTTATAGCTAAAACTTATAGATTCTGTAAGATAATTTAGTGGTAGCAAACATGCCTGCACTTCAAATTGTTGATTTTGTTGTGATTACTTTGAAAATTTTCTGAGAAGTTACTTTTCATTTTTCCTGTGCAGTCACTTGTAGTTTTCGTCAGACCCATCAAATTTGCAGTCATGTTTACATTTGGAAACATCCTAGCAGTTGGGAGGTGATTACACAGATTTTCACTCATATATCATTTTTGTTTTCAGATTAGCTTAGTGATATCCCTTATATTTAGTACCAAAGTGTATACTGGTTTTGTTTTGTACTACTGATATGCATGTTTAGTCATTGCATTAGTATTACTGGTTTTCTTTTTGAAAGTTTGCCATATGTTGACATGAACCTTTATTTGGCAGCACAGCTTTCCTAATAGGGCCAAGTCAACAGTTGAGGATGATGCTTGACCCAGTTCGTGTGTATGCAACAGCTATTTACGGTGGATTTGTTTTTCTGGCTCTAATTTTTGCTCTTTGGGTTAGTATTATTTATCCACCATCCTTTTCCTTATGGACAGATTCTTGTAAGTAAACCACTTAATCTTGTGTTTGCCCTGTGCTTTAATTGTGCAGATCCATTCCAAGGTTCTAACATTGATTGCAATCATATGCGAGATCTGTGCTCTGTTCTGGTAAGCCTCCTTTTCTTAAAATAATACTAGTGATTTATGAGTCTTAACCTATTGTTGTAATACTGATGCCATTTGTAAGTATGCTTTAATTAAATTGATATAAGCTTTACAAAAAGATTGTAAGATTAGAATAATATTCGCTGTGCTTTTGCATAGAGAAGTGGTAAACAAAACTGGCCTTTAGTTATACTATGCTAACCGTAGCAACGCCAGGCACACATGTGGTTAATTATCTGTATTTGAGACTGGTTTTGATCCTTGAGTGTTCTCATGTACTGAATGCGCGTTGAGAAAACATTAGTGAACTCTGAACTGATCTTACAAATATCACGATTCTAGAAAACATTAGTGACTGCATGAATCAACTTCAGGTGTTCATATTAAGTGTTTGTCTGACGTTGCCAAACATTAGTGCTCAGTCAGTGCATGTACATTGTGGAATGTTGAAGCAACAAAAGGCGAACTCTGCAGAAACACGAGGGCTGCTGCCTACATTTATCTTCTGCATATCATGAATCCATAATCTGAGTCATCAACAGGAAAGAAGTGTGTAGGATGTTTGCTGTTTGCGATGGAGGTGCAGTAGCACCACGAATTAGGATCACATGTATCCGATACCTCACTTAGGTACTTTTTCGTGGGAGTTTGAAAAATTAACATAGTTTATATGGTATATCATGAAGCTAGATGCATGTCTCTTGACACCAGAAATCTCCATACCATGAAACAAATTGTATTTCCACCCCTTCTGTTTTTATTTTATGAAATGGATCAGTATTGTTTGTCTGTTTGTATCTTTATTTCTCACTCTTGTCTCTTGTGACAAATTAACTGATATTGGCTCCATATTCTCCTCTCTTGCACCTCAGGTATAGTTTGAGCTACATCCCTTTCGCTCGGCGAATGGTGTCTGACCTGATGGTGAAGCTCTGTGACACTGAACTTTGACCTGATGGTGAAGTTCATGGGTAGTATCAGGATGCCTTAAGGTGCTTGCCCATGTTAATGCAATACTGCTTCTCCTCCTCCCCAGTATTGTTTGTTCACCTAAGTCCTTACAATCCAGATTTTGTGGATACACATACCTTTATGTTTTGTATAAATGTATTACATCATGCACTTGTTTTTTGTAACGCTGTAAGTTCATATCTGTCTGAAATTGGCCAAACAACTGAGGCATCATGTATACAAATTTCTTGGCTGCACAACTCTGCGCGTCTTGCTAAATGTCAGCCATCTGACGTCTTTGCTCCACCTGGTTCTTAATGACATTTTGCTCCACTGCACAGACTGTTTCTGTAAATTCTAAAACTTTTGAATCTCTTTTCGAGTCGAAAACTTCTGAATTTTTAACAGGTAAGAGTAGTGATGTTCCATTTTTTGTTTCTCTTTTGCAGAAAAGAGTGTTTGCTGCTTGGGCGTCAAAGCTGCCAGAACACAGATCACCCAAATATGCGACTACTGTTGAAGTCTTCGAGTTACAACACCTGGCTCTACTCGCCAGCCACTGTCTGGTGGGGTCCGACCAGGCCCACTTGTCAGTGAGCAGCAGCTGTGTTCCCCCGCAAGAAATACCGAAACTACCCTTCCATCACCCTCAAAATTACATTAACACCCCTGCCCAGCAGCTCAGCTCCGGTTCAAATCTCCCAGCCAATTCAAATTTCTGAACACCTCGTCGCTCCCCGGCTACTATATATGCCACCCCATTCCTCGCCCACACGCGCAGCACACGTCGCCCCCATCGCTGCATGGGCAAAGCGATCTCCCTTCTCCGGCCACCGCGAGAGCCACAGCCACGAGAGAGCGAGGGCGAGGGCGAGAGGGGGAGGATGATGGAGCTGAGGAAGCGCCCGAGGCCGCGGCGCGTCGACCCCGACTTCGTCTCGTCACCGCCGGCTTCGCTGCTGCTGCCGCCGCCGAGGAAGCGGGCGAGGAGGCAGGCCGCGCCGCCGGCGGCTCCGGCTCCGGCTCCTGCTCCTGCGCGCCCATCACCAGCGGCGAGGAGGCGGCCGACGTGCGCGCGGGTGATCATCCAGAGCCCCGTCGCTGGGCTTCAGCCATCCGTGTGCTGCCCGTGCGAGGCGCCGCTCCGGGCGTGCAGGCTTCCGCGCGCCTCCTTCCTCGCTCGCCGTCGCCCTCCCTTCGACTGGTAAGTGATTCGCTCTGCTCCCTGTGCGTGCGTGCGTGGCTTCGAGTTCGAGGTGGCGAATTTTGAAATTGGTTCGGATTCTGCTTGCGTTGTTCTTAATCTAGTGTGGTTTCGATGTGCGCGTGTGTTTCTGGAAGTTCCGTGGATTGGAGGAAGGGAATTGGTTTGAACTAACTTGGAGTTCCTCGGGTTGGATTTGAGCATCTGTGATGAAGCAGTGGAGAATCGCCTCATGAATTGCTTGTCTGTGTTTGCATTGCGGTGATTTGAACCTTGCTGCTGTGATTTCAGTTTGGTTATTAGGTGATCGCAACATAACCCACTGAATCAGTTCTGATGCTGCTGTTTGAATCCTCTAGCTCTGGATTGTGGGTTAACTCTTCCATTCTGTCGCATTTGGCCATCTGAATTGCCTGTTCTGTTTGCGTTTCTGCATTGCATTATGTGAATGTTGCTGTGAACTCAACTTGATTTGAAGCGATCGATCGTGGTCACAACTTAATCCACCTGTTGCTGTTTGAATTTTCTAGCTCTAGATTGTGGCTTAATGCTTCCATTTGCGTCCTGCTCCTAATCAGCTACCTGCCGCTGGACGTGGGTGGCTTGAAGCTTCGAGAATTCGAATTTTGTTGCGTTGAAATGCTGCACTTAACTTTTGAACAACCGGTGCGAAGTGCACTGGAAATCCTCTGCTGAGCGCTTTTGGTTAGAAATTTAGAATTGCTATGCACGTTCGAGTGTTTTGGTACTTGGATTGGATGAAATTCTGTATCATTCGTTATTCTTCTGGATTCAAATTCGTAGGAGCAGAGTGCTGGTTAATGCGAACAGGAACTTCTGCGTGCTCGAATGATGGTTGCTGACTTGCTTCTATGCTTTCCAATTTGTGAATTCGTTGTTTACATTTTCTGGGACTTGCCCAGATGCACTGCAGAATTTTTTAATCCAGCCACCTGCAGTTTTGAGCATTGCTCCTCCTGCTAAGTTCATTTTTCCAGAAATCTATCGTCAAATCCTACTTCGAATTTGAATTCAGGAGTTCTTTTGCTCTGTTGTTGCAGGTACGAGGCGGACATGTGGACGGAGGTGGCCAAGTACCTGTTCGGCGCGGAGCTGGTGCGCCTCTCCTCCACCTGCCGCTGGTTCCGCCGCCTCCTCGCCGACGAGTTCATCTGGCGCCACGCCTTCCTCCGCGACCTCTCCCTCCTCCCCGCCGCCGCCGACCGGTACCCTCCCCGCCCGCTCCACCGCTCCTGGCGCCTCCTCTACGCCGCCGCCTTCAGTAAGCTCCTCCCCTCCCTCCCTCCCTCCACTGACGACCCGGTCCCACTCACTGACATGACACGTGTCCCCTCTCTTCTTCCTCCAGACGGCGCCCACTCGTACTGGTTCCGCCGGAGCAGCAGGCACATTGGTAAGCGCAGCGCAACGACGTCGTCGAAATCGTTTGATCTCTCTCCGCTCCGCTTCTTCTGATTGATTCGTGTGGTATACGTGACGCAGGGGCGTACCGGATTGGTGGGTTCCTGCTCGAGTCGCCTTACATGCTCCTGACGGCGAAGCTGGCGGTGCCGCAGTGGCTGCCGCCGCAGGAGGACGGCCCGCAGATCGCCATCGAGATGACCGGCGCGTGCGTGCTCCCCAACGCGCGCCCTGGCATCTGGATCACCGGTACGCGCGCCCATCTCATCGCCACCCAATTCCTCGCAAGCTTACAGTTCTGGTTAATTAAACTGTTTCGATGATCTCACTCGCATTGCTTTTGGCCTTGTTGAAATCTTGCAGACTTCCATCTTGTGAGGTGTCCCAATTGCACCCTCAACAAGTGCGCAGGTGAGTCGAGAGACTCTGGGGGTTTTTTGATCCTGCCATCGTGGAGTTTGATTGCTCACTGAATTTGGTTGGGTGCAATGGGTGGTTCAGGGGTCCTGCAGGTTCTGGACGCGCGACACTGCGAGCTGTTCCTGGAGCAGGGATTCTGGAATGGCACCTGGGAGTACGAGGACCTGGGCGACCACTACAACGACGAGGAGACCCCCACCGCAGCCTGCGCCATCTTCAACGCCAGCACCCGCGCTCATGAGTCCATTTCATGTTCGTCCCTGGATCATTTGGCATTTGTCAATTCCAGTTCTCTGTTCATTTACATTCTTGGTACAAGGATGGCACACTCTCACAACGACTGACATGGGTGGCATCTTCTTCTTCCGGTGCAGGTGTTCTCCACTCGAAGTCTTGGGTCAGGAGATGCGACGACCCACAGCCCAAGGCACATTGCCGCCCATACGCTGTTGCCCTCAATTCCAACCTCCTGTCCAACTCCAACCAGGGTATGCACGTGAACTAAATCAAACATTTCTTTCTGTCTCAAGTCTAGTTCTGATCTGATATTCTTTGCATTGTGTGGATTGGATTGCAGGGTTGGTGTCAAGGTTCCAGGCGATGCGAGACACGACCGGGAACGGGCAGATAGTGTCTATCCGGATCATACAGCAGATTTACTGATTCAAGTGCCTGGTTCGTTTCTGGTGCTGGGTTCCTGCTCTGTTGTTTAATGTGTTAATGCCTTGTTTGCGATGATATAAGTTCTGTCAGGGATAAATCATGAGAGGGAGTACAGTTATACTATAGATGGTTAGGCCTCTGTTAAGATTACAAAAATTGTTTAGAGTACGGAAGTAGAGAGCGCCCAAAAGGAGCAGATTTCGTGTTGTTTATATCGAATCATTGAGTCATGTCGGTAATATTCTGTGCTTCATTGAGAAGTAGCAGCTTGTTTTAACAAAACATAGTACTATGTCTATGACTATAAAGCCAAGAATTTGCTTATTGTACATACTTCACTCTGCTTTGCTAGCTTGCTTGATTTCATGAGCTGCTCTACTGTTTTCAATAGACTGGGCAACATAATCATGAATGATTTGATACTCAACTTGTAGATGTTTGTGAAACCGTAGCTGAACTACAGAAGTACTGCAAATATCTCTAATTCTGTTCTTGCCCTCTGACAAGGAATGTCAACACTTCACTAACACTGGCATTTCTGAACTTCAGTCTTCAGATGCTAGTTATCTACAGTTCTGCTAGGAGTATAAGCTAGTAGTATTAGATCAAGATACCATTTGAACAGTAAATGAGCATCTCCTCTGCCTATTCATTTTCCTCATTTAAGTTAGCATTTTTTAGTCATGGATGTTAAGTCTCATGATATCCTTTTTATATTCGGGATAGCCAGTCTGTATGTTAGATTGTCTGAAATTGATGCACAAATTGGATTATCCGTGGATTTCAGTAATCGATTAGCATAAGCTTGCATGATACAGGAGGTGGCTGGTAGCTATCTAATCTGATGATAGTCCACGGAAATGAACCTCTTGCTCACATGTGTACATTTAGATTCAGTTCGATTCTGACACCTGGTTGGGTTAGTGGCATGAAGCTTAAACAAAGCTTCCAATTCCTCACGATCCTTTTGCACCTTTTATTTAGACCTGGTTCTTGTTGGTAACTGCAGTTCCATCGTAAAACCTACTCCCTCCATTTCAGGTTATAAGACGTTTTGACTCAAAATGCTTTAAGTTTGACCAAGTTTGTAGAAAAAATAGTAACATTTTTAACCAAAGACAAATTTATTATGAAAATATATTCAATTATTGATTTGATAAAAGTAATTTAGTATTATAAATATTACTATATTTGTCTATAAACTTAATAAACTTGAAACAATTTGACTTTGACCAAAGTTAAAACGTCTTATAACCTAAAACGGAGGGAGTAGAATTTATCTGCTGCTAGAAATCCTCCTTGCAAGCTTTCTGGACAAGCACCTTAACATACATAAATCTGACAAAATTTCAACCTGTTATTCATCTAGCACAATAGGACGCTTTAGTGGGCACTGGGCAGTAGTTTAGTACTCCCTCCATTTCAGGTCATAAGACGTTTTGATTTAGGTCAAAGTTAAACTACTCTAAGTTTGACTAATTATGTAGAAAAAAGTAGTAATATTTCCAACACTAACATAGTTTCATTAAATCTACAATTGAATAAAATTTTATAATATACTCCTTCCGTTTCTAAATATTTGACATTATTGACTTTTTAGTACATGTTTAACCGTTCGTCTTATTCAAAAACTTTTTGTGAAATATATAAAATACATATAAGTATATTTAACAATGAATTAAATGATAGGAAAAGAATTACTTCCTCCGTTTCACAATGTCTAGATTCATTAACATCAATATAAATGTGGAAAATGCTATAATGACTTACATTGTGAAAACGGAGGGAATAATAATTACTTAAATTTTTTGAATAAGACGAACGGTCAAACATATTTAAAAAAGTCAATGGCGTCAAATATTTAGAAATGGATGAAGTATTTGTCTTGGATTAAAAATATTACTATTTTTTTTTATAAAATTAGTCAAATTTAGAGTAGTTTGACCAAAGTCAAAACGTCTTATAATTTAAGAGTATCAACTACATGTTGTTTGAGCTTTGTGTTCTTGCTCGGGGCTCTGATTTCTGAACGGTGTAGAGATTTCTTGCACTAAATTGATATATATTGCCTTGATGTTACGTTCGGAGCCTGAAATGTTACATCCAGTTCGGTAAATTTTAAGTGGCCGGTGATTTACCGTACTAGTGATGTATGCGTGCAAATTGCAAAACACAGTAGGGGAGACACTGGGTTAGGCAGATTAGCAATTGCAACTAGCCAACCTACTGTTGTATCCATACCTATGGATCCTAGCGGGCTCAGCAGAGCAGTTGTGATCAACTTGTTCTGCGATTAGCGAGTCCTAATCCCAATTGAACCGTGCAATGGATGGCCTACTCCAAGTACTGCAAAAACTATCTTCGGCTATGCCCAAACAAATGCGTCGGCTGCCTTTTGAAGCTCTCATGACGCATCTTCCTTTCCCTCTTCTTTTTTTTGCCGGGTCGGCCGATTCCTTTCCCTCTTTCCCCGTAGGAATTTTGTAGTCATCCATGATCCATGCTTGTACGTGTGCTAGTGCTCAGAAACAACCTTGAACCCACTTTCGATGGAGTCCCAAAGATGTTAACTGAAAGTTGAGCTGCAAAACATAATAATTTGCCGACTTACTCACCCTGTGATTAATCTATTTTCACTGTGTAGTAAGTAGAGAGTGTTACTTACTACAGTATCTATTTTTGTTTGGATGTTTGCCGTGGACAAGTGCTAACTGTCAAAACCCGTTTTGACCTTAAACCCAGCAATAATAATAATGTAAAACTCCATTGGGCAGTGCAACCTACTCCTCACATATTATATTATAATTCCTAAACCTTGATCAGTTAAATTAATAGCTCTGTTCCCTGTGGCTTTATATAAACACCATGGTTGTCAGCAGTTCAGCACCACCTAGTGGCATCACCCAGCACTCCAGCAGCATTCAGCTTCCCTTCCTCTCCCCCTCTCTTTGTTCTCCTCTAGCTCATCCCCATACCCAAACCTCCATCAGATCACAACTTCGCTAGCTAACTAGAGAGCAAAGGCCGGGCAGTGCAGGGGGGAAAAAGGAAGAGAGCCAAATGGGCAACATGCTGCCGTGCTTGGTCCAAGGCAGGACGACCCTCCCGGCCGCCATGAACCCCAAGCAGAGGCTCTACTCCCTCAAGCTCCTCGTCAAGGCCCTCCACAAGCTGAAGAAGAAGATGATGATGAAGCCTAACAAGGGCAAGAAGATCGGTAGCAGCAAACCGTCATCGCCGGCGGCGCCGGCGGAAGCAGCTTCAGCCACAGCGGCGGCGGTGGCAGGAGGAGGCGTAGAGGCGGCGATCGGGAGCAGTAAGCCCAAGGTGAGCCCGCGAAGAGCGGCTCAAGGTGGGCAAAGGAAGGGCGTGGTGCGGGTGAAGGTGGTGCTGACAAAGGAGGAGGCGGCGCGGCTGCTGTCGCTCACCGTCGTCAGCGCCGGCGCCGGCGCAGGCGGTGGCCGCCGGAAGACCACCGCGCAGATCATCGCCGAGATCAAGAGGATGGAGATACGCCGTGCCATGGCGACATCGTCGGCGGCGGTGGCGTGGCGCCCGGCGCTCGCGAGCATCCCCGAGGAGCAGCACCACCACTCGCCGCGCCGTAGCCTCGGCGTGCAGCAGGTGGCGTAGAGGTCACATACTCACATGTTTATATGTGCCTACATGCTCGTGTGCACGTACGTAGGATGATCGTGGTAGAGATGGGTAATCAAACACACAGAGAGAGGACGAGAAGGGTCTGGGTTGAGAGGCGAGCTAGGCCGGCGACGACGACGGATCGACGGCCATGTACATGCTCCCCCTCCCATGCACGAGCTCCGGCCGGCGGCGCAGCGAGGCGCCGCCGTGCTTGCTATACAGCTTCCCTTTTTTGAAGCTTAATTACCTCGAGGGGTCCCTCCTCCATCGCCCTGCGCTGGCCATCTCATATGTTAATTAGTGACCACCAAATGAAATGGAAAATGGAATGTAAAAGTTAATCCCCTTCCTTGATCATATCGTACGATCTTTCGGCTGAATGCTTGTAAGCATGCATGCATGTTCGAGATGTTAATTAATTCCTTCGAGCAATTTGAAAGAAAGAAATTTCCTTGGTGGAATTCAACCGGTCTGTCTCTGTTAATAATACATGAAACGTCTACGTCCCTTCAATTTCAAGCCTAAATAGACGGCACATGCACATTTGAACGATGCTCTCATATTGACTGTGCATTGAGACTTACATGTATTCTATGGCCGTATTTCGCACAGTTCGCTGAAATGATCAGTTAACATGAAGCTAGCTGACGATCGAGATTATTTTTCAGTTAAATTAAGATCCAGAGACTCCGGTTGGTTGCGACGTGAACAATAATTCAGCATGCTTTGTCGTCTAGAGACATAGCTCGCACGTCCAACGGATTGAAGCTTGATAGCCGGGAGCCCCCATGTGCAGTTGTTCGCTTGCTAGCTTTGCAAGGATACTGCAATAAATGGAGGGTGGACAAGAAAAATATAGTGGGTTAGCTAGGATGAGCTGAATATAACCATTGCAACTTGCAAATGGCAATAAACAAGAGGAGATTGAGGTAGTGTTGTGGTTGAGTTGGGGGTGGACGGTGGTTTCCTCGCGAAAATGTTGTTTATTGTATGATATTTTTCACGTTCTTTACATGCTAGCTGTAGCACTGCTTATACTTCTAACCGAGTAAGCATTCGTTTTTTTTTTCATTTATAAGGTTTTAGCAATTATTATCCTTTCAGAAATAATTTAGATGTCATTTCGTAATTTGGATATTCAATTTTCCGAAACTTCACATGTATAAACCTACATATATAATGAACCTACACATATAATATAATTCCGACATTTTCCATAGCTTCAGGTCATGAAAATTTTGAGCACAGTAGAAATGATGCGCATATAAATAATTTCATTTGTGGTTCTTATCTTCAACATTACCCAAACCATTAGATGAAGTACTAAACCCTCCTATAAAAAAAAACAAGTCGTCTTATGTCCTTTTTTGGGGAGCTTAATATTTTGCAAAACAAGCTTCATCTAAAACAAGCTGGTTTCCTAACTTTTTTTTAGAATATGCACCAGGGGAGCTAGAGTTTCTGAGGAAAAAAAAACCGCAGTTGCTATAAGCTCCTCAAAGCCTTAGAATACATGTAGTTAAGTTAACTTTAACTATAAAAATAATTTGAGATATAAGTTTTGGGTATATGAAAATGACATATTCAAGTTTGTCATAATAGGATCTTTAATAATATTACACTAATTTATTTATTTTAATTTATGCTAACGAACTAGCTAGGTAATCGATGTTGTATAATGTTGACTTTGAAAAGGCCCCAAATAACTTTTTTTAAGAAAATAAAAACCCAAAATAACTTGATTATGAGACAAAAGGAAGTAACACTTTTTTTTTACTTAGGGTGTGGTTGTTAAGAGGAGGCAGGCACATGATACCCGTCTCAACTCTCAATTGACCAAGCATTTCCTATGCTAACAAAATAACATGCATTTTTTAATTACCCTGCACAAAAAAATAAAAACCCTTCGGTTACACCATTATTTGCTATTACAATACAAAGCCAGTCGCTAATTTATCGCCAAGTGTCATTTGTCTTTTTCTCCTATATTCTCTTGAACAAAACTTTAGTGCTAACAAGTTGACTTCCACTTACTGATCGTAATTAAGTTCTAAATGCCAATTAACCACACCGTGATGCCCGGTTCATGAACATTCAAAACTTATTTTTTGCGAGGATGAACATTCAGAACTTAAACCAGTACTTAGACCATAAGCTAGCTAAGCCGACATCCTGCCTGAAAAACCGACGGGTCGTCGTTGAGTGCGATGCGTGCAAAATGCAACGCATGCATGCGCGGCCGCACATGATATGCGGCTACTAATTATTCAGCTTAGCTCTCTTGGAGATTAGATTAAGCCGAGACGATTCGGCGTCCCCATGTGCCCTGTTCGTGGCTCCGGCGCGGCGTCCCTATCTATCTCGGGCCCTGCCTGTCTTCCCGGCTCTCTGTAGTCGATCTGCACACGTAATTTTGTCTCCGATCGATCGATCTCGCGTGATCTCGGGGACTTGTGTTCCTCCGGCTGGAGACGACGACGGCGACGAGGACCACTGCTCCGTCTGATATCGACCAAAATCGCATCGCTCATGGCTGCAGAATTATTGTAGCTGAAGAATTATGAGCCTTGGTGAAGAATCATCGAGTTTGGTACTGTGTGCATGTATGTATGTATGCAGTTTGGATTCCGGGCTGTATATGTATGATTCGGTATTTGATTTGTTGTGGCAAGTATTACTAGAAGTATATATACTATACTCTGTATACTGATTGCGAGATCGCTAATGATGATTGAGATTTGTTTGACAGGGTTTGGTCTACTCTGATGTTGAGGTGATAACCCGAATCGGCGTTGGGATAAGGGATCCTCTGCCTGCATGCGTCGTGGGCATATGCACATGGCCCGTTTGTTCGCGGATGTGTGTGTTGGGGGGGGGGGCGCCAACACGTGTCCTGTTGTGCAATCTCCGGTTGTCTTTTTTTTGCCTCTCGCATAGTTGCATTGTGACAGCTGACGCGCGCGCGAGAGAGAGAGACAAGGTAGAGAGGATTCGTGGGGGATGTGGAGCCATAGAAGTCCAGAAGATGGTCCAATACAACCTAGAACACTTTGAGCGATACCAGCCAACCAGGTGCATAGTCAAAAATGAACGCGGAAGGTGCGAAAGGGTATGTAGTCTAATGGTTACAAGAGTCTCAGTAATCTGAGGTCATGGGTTCGACTCCCTATGGAAGCGAATTTTTCAGGTTTTAACGGCGTTGTGTTTTCAGTTGGTAGCCGATGTACCTGTCGACAGTGATGCGCCTGTGGTGACTTCGTCAATTTCTCCAGGATTTGCCGGCCCAGTCTTCGAAGATGCTCATACGGGTAGGGTTTACGTGCGCGTGCATTATGAGTGTCTGCGTTGTACTGTGTAATTCAAAAAAATGAACGGAAGGTATGCACTATTCCTTTTTTTGGACCCCCGGGTGGGACACCCCACCTAAATAAAATTGGCAAAATTTGCTACAAGACACTCAAAGATTGTGGCATTTGCTGTGAGACACCTAAAAATCGTGTATTTGCTTATGGACACTGTAAAAATATGGTAATTAGCTGCTGGACACTCGAGACATTATTTTATTATTTTCGGTGAAAACAGAGAGAGAAAGAGCATTGAAAGTACCAAAATGCCCCTGACACTGTTCTTCTTTCTAGTATTTTCTTTCTTCTCTCTTTCCTGCCCCTGACACGGGTCGCGTTCTTCGCTGTAGGAGGCATCACGCGTGGCGGCGCCGTGCGGGAGGTGCTGCTCACGCGGTGGGAGGGGCGGGACGACCAGGTGCTGGTGTACGGTCTCCTCCTAGCAGGGGTGGACCACGGCGAGCTCATGGGCAGAGCGCGGTTCTGCCTATGCCCGACCGGCGACGACGAGGGCGCGGCCGCGGCGAGCCGCCGCGTCGTGGAGGCCATCACTGTCGGGTGCTGCGCCATGGACATCACCGTCTCCTTCCTGCGCCGCCGTCGCCGGTGAGCTCCAAGGCCGAAGCCTTCTTCCCCTCACGCCACTACCTCTCTCTTCCCCAATTCCGGCCAACGCCGTCCGTTGCCACAGCGCCACCTCCACGCCATCCCAGAGCCCCGTGCCGTGCCACCGGGTTCGCCTCCATCTCCTCTTGCCAACGCCGACGCTCGTCGCGGCAGCCATGCGCTGTCACCGATGAACACCGCCGCGCCACAGCCATGGCAGAGCACGGCCAGGGAGCCATGGCTGCTCTGCCTCCTCCTCCTTCTCTCACATCTGGTTGCAGCCGGACCTAGTCGGCTTATACAAATGGCCCATGGGCAAAATTGTTTCAGTCGGAAATAATAAAATAATGGGAGGATTGTCCGCCAGCAAATTACCATATTTTTTCGGTGTCCAAGAGCAAATACACGATCTTCGGGTGTTTCACAGCAAAGACCACAATTTCTAAGTGTCCTGTAACAAATTTTGCCAATAAAAATTTAAAACCAAAGGAGAAGACTGTACATGAAGAAAAACAAAGAGAATGAAATTACATAAGCTCAGGGGTTATAAAGTTGATTTATTTTTAGGATGAAGGAAGTGTGTGAAAACAATGGCCAATTGGGTGTCGGAAAATATAACGTGCTTGCTAAAATGTCGTCCCCATATCCTGTAGCTGATTATAGATAGACCCTGATGGTCAAGATGCCCTGTACTGGATCGTGTTTCCATGCTTCATCTCCGCTTCTCTCAAGTACTCCCCGAACTCACATATCTGGTGGGCTGGATCCACAGTAAGAAACAGTCAAACAACACTCACTTCATAGATAACCAATTGTTTAATTATTCTTAGTCCCTTATCTTATACTCCTAGTAAGTGCTTAAAAACTTGGTATAAATATCAAATTTATCGTACAATTACAATATAATTATAACGTATACCATGTAATTTTTAAAACTATTTTTAGATAAAAAAAATATGGTGATGAGCAGCCGCAGCAGCGGACGCCGAACCACCTGCCGAACATCACCAAGATAGCGAGTCCTAAAAATTTTTAGTGTTCGTTTGCTGGGTTGGTAACTAATTAAAAAAAAAGAGCGACTCATTAGCTCATAAATAATTACGTATTAGCTAATTTTTTTAAAAAATAAATTAATATAACTTATAAAGCAGCTTTTGTATAATTTTTTTTTTAAAAAAGTGTTGTTTAGCAGTTTTGGGAAGTGTGCCGAGGGAAAACGATGAGATGGGTTGGGGAAGGAGGGGGAAGAAGTGAAGAACACAGCAAATATAGGCAGCATCGTCCCGTACAGATCAGGCTGCAACCACGCCCCGCGGAGATAGTTAACGCGGCCCACGTTGTGCTATAGCCCGTCACTCTCGCGGGCCTCTCCAACCTCCAGTTTTTTTTCTAGCCCATCAGCTGATACGGGGCCTTCCCCCCATGCAGGAGGATGGCCCGCCACGCGGTGTTTTGGGCCGTTCTCGCCGCGCGCGCCCGTGCCGATCCGGGACTCATCCCACGTGCCGCCTCGCCACCGCCGCCGCCGCCGCTGCTGCTCCGGCTGCCGGCTGGACCTTCACGCTCACGCGCTCTCCCCTGCCCAACCACCACGCAAACAAACACGAAGTTCGCGCCGTCGACCGGCTCCCCTCCTCCCCCGCGCGCATCGGATCCCCCTACATAAACCCTCTCGCTCGCCATCGCCATGGCAGCAACTCCCCTCCTCCACTAGACCACCATGCACAGATCGATGGCCTCTCAGGCGGTGGCGCCCCTCCTCCTCATCCTCATGCTCGCGGCGGCGGCGGGGGGCGCGTCGGCGGCGGTGCAGTGCGGGCAGGTGATGCAGCTGATGGCGCCGTGCATGCCGTACCTCGCCGGCGCCCCCGGGATGACGCCCTACGGCATCTGCTGCGACAGCCTCGGCGTGCTCAACCGGATGGCCCCGGCCCCCGCCGACCGCGTCGCCGTCTGCAACTGCGTCAAGGACGCCGCCGCCGGCTTCCCCGCCGTCGACTTCTCCCGCGCCTCCGCCCTCCCCGCCGCCTGCGGCCTCTCCATCAGCTTCACCATCGCCCCCAACATGGACTGCAACCAGTAAGTTCATTCATTCTTTCTTAACTCCAATTCAATTTATCCATCACCTCGACTTAAGCCTGATTAAACTTAACTTGTTCTTTGCATGCTTGCACTATTGCAGGGTTACAGAGGAACTGAGAATCTGAGAGCGTGAGGAATCGAGTTCATGTTGCATTTATCATCAATCATCATCGACTAGATCAATAAATCGAGCAAAGCTTTGATAAAGAGCGAGCCGCCTTAATTAATTTACAATAATCTTGGATGTCATCCTGCATGCGTGTATGATCACACGGTTGTTTAATTAGGCACTTTAATTTTGCACTGTCGTGTGTTACTTATTCCTGATCTCTACTATACGGTGACTAACCCCTGATCAAAAGTTTAATTCAACATGTTTTCGAGTACTTGCGATCCTAATTCCCAAATTCATATGCTTTGCAATATCAAATGATCCATCGAGAAGAAGAAACTATATATTATTCCAAAAACGATAACCCAAACGAGCTTTGCAATATATTATTCATAATATGCTTTGCAATATCAAACGATCCATCTTGAATCAGCAATGGTTGTTCGTTGCACGTCCCAATTTCAGACGAGCTTGTAGCCGATGACCCAGACGTCAGCCGGCGGCGGCGCGGCGCGGCCGCGGACAACGTAGGCGAAGGCGGCGCTCTCGCCGGCGGCCAGCGACGACGGGAGCACGTAGCCGTACCTCGCCGCCTTCTCGAGCCCCCACACCGGGCCGTGCGGCTTGCCGATGCCGATGTGGAGCTCCTCGACCGTCTTGCCGCCGGCCGGCGACCTGTTGCTCACCGTCGCCGCGTACCGGCGGTACGTCCTCCCGTCCTTCTTCCACGACGCCGTCGCGTTCAGCTGCGTGATCTCCACCGGCGACGCCGCAGCTGCGAGAGGTGGCAGCAAGGTCTGGTTGTCCGGCCTCTTGATCGCTGCTTCGGCGAGCCCGCCGCGGCCGCCGCCGGCGAGGCGAGCGAGGACGCCCATGAGCGGCGCGTTGTTGTAGGTGGCCACCTCCGTCTGCTGGTAGTTGTTCCTCTCGTCGGCGAAGCCGTCGCGCCCGTCGGGGCCGCCGACCACGGCGCCGTCGAGCAGGTTCGGGTTGCTGCCGGCGCGGCCGAACCAGCTCGCGTACCCATCCTTGCAGCTCACGAACGACGGGTTGGCCCTGATGGAGACGATGGACGCGCCGCGGTGGTGCGCGCGCCGCGGGTACCTCGCGCCATAGCCGACCATGTAGCTAATCCCCCTCGGGTTGCTACCCAGGATGTAGTCCACCTGCGACTTGGCCAGCGCGACGAGCTCCGACGCCCGCGCCGCCGGCCCGGCCTGGCACCGCACGACGGCTTGCCCGCGGCCGGCGGCGGCGAGGTGGTCGGCGTAGACGGCCAGCAGGAACGACGCGCCGGTGACGAACTGGAGGTTGTTCCAGCCCTGGTGGTACATCAGGCCGCCGGGCGTCCTCCCGACGTTGCCACCGCCGCCGCCCTTGCCGAGGCAGGAGCACGCGAAGACGTCGGCGTTCCGCTGGTACCTCCGCAGCACGGCGGCGTGCGGCCCGGCCTTCCCTTGCAGGAGAAACTACATCAAAAGGAATGTAAGTATAAGTACAGTGTTGGGGTGAGTAGTACTACTCTTGTATCCGACAAAATGTGGTAATCACTGTAGCATTTCAGACCTTTGCAGCTAGGACTTGCACTCCGGGGTACTTGACGTCCCAGCCGAATTCGTTGGTAGCCCAACCGGTCCCGCCGAGTGCGTCACCATTGTTGGCCAAGTAATCTAGGTAGCGGCGGTTGTCGGTCGCCTGGTATAGCCATGCCGATGCCCACAGTAGTTCATCCTGAAGCGCATACATCGGATATCGTCATCGGATGACGAAGATATGGCCGGTTCTCAAGAACGTGGTTATTCATTTTGTCGGAAACATACCCCGTATCCGCTGAATGACCCGTAAAATTTCTTCACGACAGGCATGCTGTCGTCGTACTTTCCCCGGTACTTGTCGGCGAAATCAAACAGCTGGGCACATGAAGAAATTTAGGTATATTTCAGCAATAGTTCAAACTAATCTTGTGAATATTTTTTGTTGTTGTTGTTGGTTTAGTCATGTCGGATTAAATTCGAATTGAAGATACCTGCTTGGAGTGTTGCAGGAGTTGGTTTGCGTAGCCCGGGTTGGAGCTACGGAAGACGAGCGACGCGGCGGCCAATGCCGTGGCGGTTTCTCCGGCGAGGTCAGAGCCAGGATGCTGAGGGTCAAGGCGATACGCCTGACGGCTCGTCGTCATGTCCTCCGGCCGCTGCCAGCAGACGTGGTCCGAGTCACCATCTCCAACCTGCAGAATGGAAGCAAACAATTCATGTACAACACTCCAAAAATGTGTGCTGCTACTACAGGTCATATAAAAAAGTAAAACCACTACATTTATGCACACGAATCGAGACAAATCAAAAGGAATTCATGGATGGATGGTCGCCGGCCGACCTCGCCGTAGAGCACGTTGGGCGCCGGGTGCGCCTTGACGAAGTAGTCGGCGCCCCACCTGACGGCGTCCATGGCGTGGCCGAGCTCGCCGGCGGCCGCCATCTGCTTCCCGTACTCGAGGACGCTCCACGCCATCATGGTCACCGTGAACGCCATCGGGAACCCGAACTTGACGTTGTCTCCGGCGTCGTAGTAGCCACCAACAAGATCCACCTGAAATGTAGATGTGTAGAATAGAACACGTTCTTGCAAATTAAACCGTACTGATCAAGATCAAGAGCAGAGAAAGATTGCAGGTTTGCTAGCTGCCACAATGGCGGGAGCACGTACGCCGTTGGCCTTGCCGTCGGCGAGGCCGGAGTTGGCCCTCCATGCGATCCTCTGGTTACCGGGGAGCACGCCGGAGCGCTGCGCCTCGAAGTAGAGGATGCTCTTGCTCAGCGCCATGCGGTAGTCATGGCGTCCGCCGCCGCCGCCGCCACGCGCCGACGTCTGCGCCGTGGCGGCGAGCACCAAGGCGACGCCGAGGAGATTAGCCATGGACGACGATGCTGCTGCTCCTCCTCTCCTGGCCATGGCTGAAGGAGTGAAGGCTAACCAAGGAACGCGAGATGCTTCAATGTGTCCAAAGCTAATGAAAGGTTAGGAGCTGTATTTACATTTCGAGGTTGGAGAAAAAGGGCCAAAGAAAAGTTAATGAGGGTGATATCACGAATTTAAAGCAAAAATAATGAGGATGATCTCATGAATATATCTTCTGTTTGCTTATCATATCTCCATCTGTATGTATATCTACTACTCCCTCTAGTAGTCATAAGTGTACAACGTTAAGAAGAAGATTTGATCAAAATTTTGAAATTTTGACTACCAGTGAATTTTAAAGTTACTTACACTACACCACGCCCTGAATTCCTCAACTACAAATCTGTCAGTAAAGACCCCATATGCTGTTATATTATGTGTCAGGAAAATTTTTACCGACAGACAAGGTCTGTCAGGCCAACTGCTGCCGGCAAATATCATTGCCGACATATAAACTTGTTCCGACAGATAGGTGCACGGTATTGTTTTAAGAGTAACTAATTAGTTACTCTTAGCAATTGGGATTACACGGCAAAATATAATTTTATTCTAAGGAACTTGAAGATTTATAAATATTATATACATATTTTGTTTTTTTGAATCATAATACAAACATAGACATTACACACACCTCCTAGTCATATGAACACGTTTGAAAACTGGGTTGGTGTATCTTAAGATTGATAAAATCATTATATACACCTTTATTGTTGATGGTACATCATCTATCACTAAAATTTATTATATTTGTCTTAGCTTTTTTATTCTGGTGATGATCTTTTCAGAGGAGTTGAAAACTTGTCCCGATCACTCTTTTTTTTTTCTTTTTCAACTCAAACACATAGGTGTCAGTTGGCAAAGGCCGAAGATATAAAACATTTCTATCGTCTTTTAAAAAAATCAACTAATAATTTTGTTTTCATCTGAAGTCCTGCGTGGTCTTCCAAAGCTCCAACTTGTTAGTTCCATGCACTTACAACTGGACTGAACCAAACCAAGCCAAAAAGAAAGTGCCAAATCCAAGTAATGTAGTTGACCATACTGGAACTAATAAGCTGTTTTTTCTCCTATGTGGTTGCTTAAGAGCTTGCAATTAGTTAGTTGCCTCCTTTTCCTAATCTATCAGTCAATTATTGTAGACGGCTAAAATTTTGTCAAGATCCATACCATATAGTAGTAGATCTTATCTCAATCCCTTCCTCCTCTGGCATTCTTGACACCGCCTCTCGCCCTGAACATCTGCGCCCTCATGTCGCCTTTGTAGACACGGGCTGGTGTCGGTGTTACTCAACGGTCTCCCACTCAGCCTCCTTTCTATATCTATATTATCGTCATATTTCGATTAATTGCTTAGTGGTGCCGTTCAACACCTATTTTTCACTTTTTACCCATGTGTGTTGCACCACGTTACTGATTTTTACTAAACACTGTGCACCTCGTGGTCCTCTCTTTACAGCTGTACTACATTACTACGCGAATTTTTTTTATTTTTAATTTTTTTTATTAAAAGTTTTACAAAAATAATTTTTCATTTTGAAAATTGGCGGAAGTAGTCGCCTACCGCCCTCTGGGAGGGCGATTTTTAAAAATCGCCATCCCAGAGGGCGGCGAAAATGACGTGGCAGACGACCGTTCGCTCTCGGGCGACGGCCGTCAACGAAATTTGCAGGCGGCCCCCTTGCCGCCCTCCGCTAGGGCGATTTTGTACTGTGCGGGGGGCCGCCTGCAAATGGGCGGCGAGGGGGCATGGAATTTTGCAGGCGGCCCCCTTGCCGCCCTGGGGGAGGGCGATTTTTGCCTCCCCCTATAAAGCCCAGTCCCCCCTCTATGAAATTTCATTATATTCACTAAAAATCCAAAAAAAACGAAAGAGAGAGAGGGGAGGGCAGCAGAAGGGGAGCGGCAAAGCCCTGCTAGTTCGCTCACTTCATCACAGGTTTGCTCCCATACATCTTTTGCATTTGTACTAATATGTTATGTTTGAGTATATATGTTGCGTTTTAGTTTTAGTTCCATATATTTTAGCATATCTGTAGCACACAGCACATATGTGTAGATCCAGAGCATAGAATATAATAGTATGAATTGAGACATAGACAGTAGTGTTAATTGTAAGATGTAGTTTAGTTTGATTTGGAGAATGTAACCTACTTTTAGAACTTTGGAGAACAATATTGTAGAGAATGTAACTTAGGGCGTAGTACAGAAATGCGAGGTTAACGCAGTTATTGTTTTCATCAGGCACAATGTCAAATAAGGTCACATTTCAGATAGTTCACGGTGAAGGAAATATTAGATTTGGTCCAGATGGTGTTGATCTGTCAGATTTTGTAATGACATCTAAGGGCATCGATAGGCCTGCGGAGAGAACATTTCAGTCAATTTATAGTTGGTTGTTGAGAGGATTTAGAATAGACCAAGAAATCTACACAATGTCAGTATCAGTTGTAGTGAGTCGTGCAACAGAAGGTTATTTTTGGGAACTAATGCCGATGGATAGCACTGCTGCTTGGAGACGGTATGTGGAAATGGCTTTTGAACGGTCATGGCCCCTCGTTATATTTGTGTCGGTACAAGAGAAAGATATAAATGTTTCAATGCAAACCGAAGATGTAGAGGGTCCTATCAATGCAGGGGATGTTGTTGGACCATCGATGCAAAATGAGGAAAATCAACCAAGGGAGGAGCAGGCCATGGGCATGGCGGATGAGGGGGAGAGAGTCGGTATAATTGTTGATGAAATGGAGAGGGAAGATTCGGATAATGAGGAAGCGGACGACGACGCATCATCCGATGAGGAAGGTGATGTAATGGCCACTGATTGGGCAAATGAGGACTTCTCTGGACTTGTTATATCAGAGGGTGATCATGTACCCTGGGAGTATAAGGAGAACGAGGTAATTGAGGGTGCAAGGTATGCTCATAAGGATGAGATGAAGGAGGCGGTGAAGCATTGGGCAGTTTCCTTGCAGAGAGAGTTTAGGGTGGTCAAGTCAACAAATTATGTGTATGAAGTGAGGTGCATGAAGGAAGATTGTCCGTGGCGTGTCCATGCATATAAGGGTAAATGGAATGATTATTGGAAAGTTAGCATTGTGACCAAGCACAAGTGCTACTTACAAGGGGTGGAGAAGTATCACCGAAACATCACTTCAGCTTTTGTGGCAAGTGAGATGTACAGCAGTGTTGTTGGTAACATTGGCTTTGAACTAAAATCAATTATTAGGCACATCGAGAACAAATTCAAGTACACCATAAGCTATGCAAAGGCCTGGAGAGCCAAACAAAAGATTATTGAGATGAGGTATGGCACATTTGAAGCTTCTTATGATAATTTGCCTCGTTTGTTAGCCACCATTGCCCAGAGGAATAATAATACTTACTATGACCTACATACATTTACATCGGTTGATGATCGAACAAAGAGTGTGCTGCAAAGAGCCTTTTTCTCATTGGGTGCTTGCATCAATGCTTTTGTGCATTGTCGACCTGTTCTATGCATAGATGGAACTTTTATGACAGGTAAATACCGAGGTCAGATATTGACAGCAATTGGGTGTGATGGGAACAGCCAGGTTCTACCTATGGCTTTTGCATTTGTAGAGAGTGAGAACACTGAAAGCTGGTACTGGTTCCTAGAGAGAGTGCACATTGCAGTGGTGCGTATGAGGCCCAAAGTTTGCCTTATACATGATCGTCATGCGGGTATGTTGCGGGCTATTGACTACTTGCAGAATGGTTGGGATGAGAAGGGACTTCCAGCTAAGTGGCCTGATGTTCGGAGTCGGTGGTGCATGCGTCACATGGGTGCAAATTTCTACAAGCAATTCAAGAACAAGCATCTTATGGAGCTCTTTAAGAGGCTCTGTGCACAGAACCAAGAGAAGAAATTTAATGAGTTGTGGGACAAGTTGGATGAGTTGACAACGAAGCAAACAGATGAGAAATCTCGCAGACCACAAGTTGAAGGTGACGAGCCTCCCATACCTCTTGGTGCATTACATGATGACCCACCAACAATGAGAAGGAGGTCAGGGTCGTCCATCAGAAATTTCACTCAGTGGATTGAGAATGAGCCTAAGGAGAAGTGGTCTCTATTGTTCGACACCGATGGATCTCGGTATGGCATAATGACAACCAATTTGGCAGAGGTATACAACTGGGTAATGTGAGGAGTTCGGGTACTTCCATTGGTTGCTATTGTTGAATTCATCCTTCACGGCACGCAAGCGTACTTTAGGGATCGATACAAGAAAATTGGTCCGTCCATGGCCGATAACAACATAGTGTTTGGCAACGTAGTGACAAAGTACATGGAAGATAAAATCAAAAAGGCACGGAGACATAGAGTTGTTGCTCAAGGCACACAAGTGCATCGGTATGAAATAATGTGTGTTGATAGGAGCAGGCGTGGTATCTATCGCAAGCAAGCCGTGCAGGAATGTGTCTTGAAGGCGGATGGTGGATGTACCTGCAGTTGTATGAAGCCGAAGCTTCATCACCTTCCTTGCTCACACGTTCTTGCTGCTGCCGGTGATTGTGGCATATCTCCCAATGTGTACGTCTCAAATTATTTCAGGAAAGAAGCAATCTTTCATACATGGAGTGAGGAGATATATGGGTTCGGGATCTCAGGATCTTACACAATGCTGAGTGCCCAAGTTTTTTATGTTCCAGATCCATCTAAGTTAAGGGTGAAAAAGGGTCGACGCCAAACTAGACGCATCAGAAATGATATGGATGAGTCAGAAGTAGGTGGGAGGACTTTACGCTGTAGCAAGTGTGATCTGCGCGGCCATACTTACAAGAAATGTCCGAAGAATGCAGAAGTTCCAAGCGGCGCAGATGCTAGTCCATCTGGACATTCAAGTGATGGTAGGCGACCACCTGGTGAAGGAACAACAAGCAGGCGCGCACGGCCAAGGCGTCGTCGCGCAGCAGGCGATTCCATGGTGTAACAATGCTATCGATTTAGGAAATAAAATGCTGTTGTGATGTGATGAGTGTTCGGACTAAATACTTCTATCGTGTAATTTCAATTGAATGTTGTTGTAATGAGTACCTCCGACTATTGTTGTA